CCGGAATCTTTGCTTCGCGCGGCAGTAACGCTGTCTCTTTTGTGGCGCTGGCCTCACTTCACAGGGTTTCTGCTACTGGGCTTTCACGCACTGCTGCGGCCCAGTGAGATTTTGAAGCTACGCCGCAGAGATTTGATTTTACCGCGAGATCTGCTCACTGATGTTCCGGTGGCTTTTGTTCGAATACTGGGCTCAAAGACCAAGCGTTTCCTGCAGAGACAGCACGCTCGCATCTCAGATGCCCTCTCCGTGGCATTTTTGGACGCTCTCTTCGGCCACTGCCACCCTCTCTCGCCTCTCTTCGACTGCAGTCCTGCGGTGCTCCGTCGGCGCTGGAACGCGTTGTTCAGCGCCTTAGGCGTGCCGGTGACTGAGGATTTGAAGGGCATCACGCCTAAATCTTTGCGGGGCTCTGGAGCTACCTGGCTCTACCAGCGCACTGAAGAGGTGGATAAGATCATGTGGCGAGGTCGGTGGCAGCAGAGGCGAACTCTTGAACATTATTTACAAGATGTGGCAGGCCAGTTGCTGTTGGTCGACCTGGCAGAGAGCCATAGGCTCCAGATACAGCAACTGTCGGGCCTGTCGGTCCGTTTTCTGGTCGATTTCGTGAATACCTTTCATTTTGCGCACAGCTCCAGATGAAAACCTGGCAGAGTTGGAAAGGGGTGCTTGGGCTCCATTGTGCAGTCAACTGTTTACTTGGAGCTTCAGCTCCTGCCCTCGACAGACCGGTCTGGCAAAGTCACGGCCTTTTCTGCGGAAGCTTACTCGGGACACTTACGTGCAGCAGAGCAAAAGAGGCCATCCATGACTTGCATGGATTGCTGAAAGAACGTCTCTGCTGTCGCAGCTTCTTTCATCCCGCCCTCCCGCCCGGAAAGGGGTGCTTGGGCTCCAGTGTGCAGTCAACTGTTTACTTGGAGCTTCAGCTCCTGCCCTCGACAGACCGGTCTGGCAAAGTCACGGCCTTTTCTGCGGAAGCTTACTCGGGACACTTACGTGCAGCAGAGCAAAAGAGGCCATCCATGCTCAAGGAATGGGGCGAGTGGCAGCGATGGGCCAGCTGTAAGCCGGTACACGTGCAACCTGGGCAGGTGGCACCGCACTTGGTGCTGAAGTCGCGGGTCTGCTTTCGCTGGAAGCCGGTGCCTGAGGGGCTCAAGGCGAAGGCAAGGATAGTCATTGCGGGATTTCGTGACCCACATTTACCGCTACTGACTCGTGACGCCCCAGTTCTGGCGAGATCATCCCTGCACCTGTTGATCCAGTGGTCCTGCTGCTTTCGCGTTGTCTTGTGGAACGCAGACGCCAAATCGGCCTTCCTTCAGGGAGACCCAGATCATGAACGACCCGAGGCCATCTTCATGAAGCCACCGATGGATCCCATTTCGCAGGATGCCGTTCCGGAGTGGAGGGTGAAAACCTTGCTTTATCGCCTCCACGCCCCGGTCTACGGACAGTCGAATGCTCCGAGGCAGTGGTACGAGCACTTCGCCCGGGCCCTTCGTGACCTTCAATGGACTACCCAGTACCCACAGTCTGGATCCCTGCCTCTTCCTCTACAAGCAAGACGGTCAGGTCGTGGCCATCCTGGGCGTGCACGTCGACGACATTCTGTGTGGCGCCTTGAAGGGCTTCGAGGAGATCCTCAATAAGGTGGAGGCTCGCTTTACTTGGGGCAGCCCGTGGGTTCATTCGGACTTCACGTTTGTGGGGCGTCGCATCCAGCAGCACGAGGACTGGAGCGTCACGATTGACCAGGCCTCGTACGTCGACGAGGTCCCCGTGACGAAGATCAAGATGGCGGACTCGGAGCTGCTGACTAATCACCCGGAGCTAGTGACCGAGTTCAGGTCGGGCATCGGCTCCCTTCAGTGGCTGGCCGGCACTACGAGGGGAGATATCGCGGCGGATACCAGTTTGGTTCAGAAGCCGCCGTCGCAGCTGACCGTTGCGGACTTGAAGGAGGTGAACGCGATCCTCCGTTACGTCCGAGCCACCAACGAGGCCGCGGTGAAGTTCGTGAGCATCGCCACTGACCGGCTCATGTTTGTGGCGTACGGAGACAGCGGCTTTGCCAACGCGCCCAACAACAAGTCCCAGGGCGGCGGTTTGGTGATCGTGGCAACGGACAAGGCGGCGCTGGAACGCGAGAGCGAGGCGTCCCTACTGGAGTGGAAAAGCTACCGTCATCAGAGGGTGCTACGAAGCACGCTCGCAGCGGAGGCTGCGGCATTGGACAGGACGCACGACACGGCGCACTTCCTGGCCATGGTCTTCAGTGAGATGTGCGAGGCATCTTTTGTGGCGACTATGAATAGTCGGCCGCTCTTCCAGGTGGTGCCGGTAACGGATGCCAGGTCTTTGTGGGACTCCGTGCATCGCTTGACGACGACTTTCGCCGAGAAGCGCGTGGAGCTGGACGTGGCTGCACTCCGACAAACGTGCCGGGGTTTGCGATGGGTCCCATCCGAGCAGATGAAGGCGGATGCGATGACGAAACGGTCCAGAGCGCTCCGTGATGCCTTTCGCGAATGGATGGGCAAGCCAAAGGTTCGCCTCACAGATAGCAAGTCCACGGAGGACGTAAAAGACGGCCAAACGGCCAATCAAGCCTGGCGATGAGCGACACAGGTCTTCAGGCTGAAGAAAATAAGACTGGTGCTAAACGAATTAAGTCGTTGTTGGTGCCTTGATCAGCCATGAAGACCCTGCAAGCTTGACTCGCCGTCCTTCGAAGGCTTAAGGGAAGGGCCTCGCGAGTGGAAAAGTCTTGAGCGCTTCGTGAGTCAGAGTTCTGCCTTAGATCCAGGCTCCGTGCTACAGCTTTTAATTCTCACATTCTCCCCGAGGCAGCCAGCACATTCACCATGGAAGAACTCAAAGTGGTGCTTCGCATTCTCAAAAAATGCAAACCTCCGGGCCCTGAGCAGATGTTTGCGGAAGTCCTACATGGAGCCCTCTATGTATTTCGCTTATAGCTCTGGGGCCCCGACAGTTACTATTACTCCACGGACAGGAGAAGCGCAAGCCAGCTGGCTCTACTCTGAAGTTGTAATGCTGGTTAAAATTACAAGAGAGAGGTCTCTCTGTTACCATACATTGTATAAAGTATACGCATCTTTCATTCAAGAGAGACTTGCTTAGCATTTCGATCATCGTTTGTGCAAAACTGGCTTTGGTTTTCGCTAAGGTCGTTCAGTCAGCCAACCCATCCACATTCTGCATCGCCTGCTTGCAGTGCATGCGCAGCAGAAGGAATCCTTTCACGCCATCTTCCTCGACTGGGCAAAGGCATTTGATTCCGTTAGTTTCTCAGCTCTCAGCTATACAATGACAACCCTCTCTTGAGTATATGTGAGTTCCCGTTTCGTTACGTAATACTATGAATTCACTTTATCAGAATCTCTCTTCTGTGGTCCGAGATAGCAAACAAACCTCCTCCCAGCATACCCATACCCGAGGCTTACGCCAAGGATGCACCCTCTCTCCACATTTGTTGTTCAGTTTTGTGCTCACACACCTATTCGCGAAGATGTCGAGTAGGAATACGAGCGCACTTTCGGCCTCATATCCGGAGTGCTTCGATTAGGCTCTTCTTTGTGGGACTTCCAGTTAATCCAAGTTCCAACCCAGGTTCCAACCAGGTTCCAACCCAGGTTCCAAGCGCCAGGTTCCAACCCAGCTTGAACCCAGGTTAGCACCCAGATGGAACCTGACAGCCCAGTTTGAACCTTCGAACCTGGGTTCCGAAACCAGGTTCAAACCTGGGTTCGAACAACCTCATCCCAAAATAGTAGTTCAAACCTGGGATTGGAAACCCAGGTTCCGGAGCCCAGGTTCAACCCTGGTTTCCAAATCTGCTCTCTATGAAAGAAATAGTTTGGAATCTAGGTTGAACCAGGGTTCCAATCTGGGAGCAGCCTGAACCCCATGCTCTGCCCATTCGGCCATGCGGCTGTAGGACATCTCACCCAAATTGGTCAACATTGACACGCAGCGGACCTGCCGTCCAGGGACATAGGCAGCATCACAGCGTTCCACAGTCTGCGGAAGGGAAGTATCGCTCTCAAGTGCGGGGTATGCGTATGTACCACTTGTGGGGCGGCACCAGTTCTTCCAGATTTCTGGTTGCGCCGTGAGGGTGGAGGAGTCATCCGGATGCAACATTGCTTGTAAGCCCGGGTGGACTATGCCGACGCGACGAGTCCTGTTGTCGACTTGCTCCCAGCAGGTTGCAAATTTCCTTCATCTTATCCAGAAGAAAGGTGCCCACCATGGCAAAGAAGCCTGAGGAGGCTACCTGCCCAGTGCCAGTCTCCCAACTTCGTGACGGATCGTGTTTGAACGGTCGGTGCAGATCGGACCTAGCTTGGGTCCTACGCTTGCAAAAGACAAAACAACCGATGAATACTGTGTGTTGTGAGTTACCCAGTATAGACTGATTGTCTGGAAGGATCAGGGTTCAGGACTTTCCGATCCAAGTTCATGTCAGCAATCAGCCCGCAGGTTCGGTCTGCAATTTTTAACCAAGGGAACGTTGTGAACCCGCGATCAGCCGCAATCAAGGTTTCGGCAGTTGCATTTCATTACTTCAAATCAAGTTGGCTGTTGTTGGGATTCTCCACCATGCTCTCACGGTAGCCTACGGACAGTTGAATCATTGTAGCGGAAGCATTTCCATGCACGAATTGCTCAATCTTGAGTTTAGACTAGTTTTGATATTGACCGTTTGCGACAAGACGATGGTGTCTTTGTCATGCGGCGATTACGTCTGAAGAAAGCGATGCGGAAGACTCGTGCGTTTAGCTCTTCGAAAGTTCCGTGCCAAGACTTTGAGAAGCCCCCGCTACCAGCAGCTCGAGTTGTTGCAGGCAGACAAATTTGATTGCACGGGTCTTGATGACTTCTGCAACGAGAAAGAAAGGTCCCCCTTGCTTGCCGGCGGTGTCAATATTTCGGCGTCGAGCCCCCCTCTTGGCAGGCTATGCAAGAGCATGAAGTGGTCGTGTCGAGGCTCTTGTTGATAGCTTGACACGTCTTGTGTTCTGCCACCGCAAGCTGTGCAGATGGTAAGCTGGTCTGCGATCCCGAAGATGGTCACAAGGCCATGAAACATCCGTGGCATGAGAGCCGCTTATGTCCTCCTGGTTCCAGGACATGTGTGCCCAGCTCAACGTGGACTGCTCAAAGGAGAAGGCCTGCGTTGGACCTTTATTGCCCACAGATTTGTGTTAGAGTAGTCTGAGCGCTGACGGTTAGGACAGCTCTCTTGGCAAAGACAAGGGAGGAAGTTCCTTTATCCAGGCTCCTTCCTTGCACGGCAAGTGCCTGCTCAGGTGTGTTCAGCCAGGTTGACTTTGCCTCGACACATGTTCAGGTCGGTTCACTGGCTTCGCTTGATGATGTCTTGAGCTTACTCAAGATGGCTGAACTGGAAGTTGACACGTAGACGAGCATCTCCGGAGATGCTAAAGGACACTTCGCCGCGGGCGGTTATCCACAGACACCGTGTGTGCCTCGAACATTGGTTGCGGTGGCCATATTCGCTTGTCTTTGCTCCTGCTGAACCCTGGTCACTGTTGCTGAGGGAAGAACATGATCAACATCGGGGCGTAAACCACCTCGGCACTGTTGGAGGACCCTCGAAAGATTTTGTGCAGTAGATGTGCAAGCGTGATTGTCGCAGCAAGACACTTGTACATGCAAATCGGACATGTGCCGGAGCTTCAAGATTGGATGCTGCTTTGGGATGCATGTCGCCAGCATCTATCCGGCATCCGGACAGTGACCTACATTTGCTGCCAGGACACCATACTGACATGCTGTTTCACTCTTGTGCACAGCGGCTGTAGTGATGTAGTAGTGGCAACTGCGTCCTCAATGACAGCTGCGAAAAGCCAGCTGGCCAGCGACTATTACTTTTGATTACTCGCCTTCTTGTCGACGTCACTGCAAAGCTGGAGTGCTGGCCAGGTACTCAGCGTACCTCGCGCAGGAGGGCTACATGCAATTCGGATCGCCGAGTCCCCATTTTGTTGTCATGATGGGCATGCAGTATTGCAACTTTGCATACTTTGAGGTATTACGTCCTCTTGGTTAAGCCACGCCACGCCGAGAAGGTGTTATGCATCGAAGCCGTGTCAGCGTGCCTTTGGCGTTTTGCAGGTGGGCAGAATTTTCGATGAGACCAGAAGTGGCCGTCTGGGGCCTATGGTGTGAGTCATGTTGTATGACCCGACATGTCGCCTTGACCGTGCCTGTGTGCCGTTCCGTAGCCGCAAGCCTTGTCTACAATAGGTCAGGCACCGCATCGAGCCTGGGCAGTATCGTTTGTATCTGCGAAGGAATTTGCATGTTTTTGCGGGGATAGCTAAGGTGTGCTGTTTGTAACCATGGTGAAGCTGTGATAAACTGTGTTCATGAAAGATGGAGTGCTTGTCCTGGTTGATACAGACCTGCGGCTTGGCAGACCTTTCTGTTCAGTCGCTGACCTGAAAAGTGCGGTTGCCCTCGAGGTTGAGCAGAAGCATTTCACTTCTAGATCTACATTTGGTCGTGGCGGTTTTTATGCTAGATCACAGGCGCACTTACGAAAGGAGCTGGAAGATGATATTCGAGATCGCATGCGCTGTCTCCTTTCGGGAAGAGCCGCCGATCAACCTCCCCGCAACACTTCTAGTGTGATTCAGGCTGCAGAAGCGTCCTTGCTAGGCTTTGCCGAGAAGGCCGTCTGTCTTTTATACGGAATGGGCGTGTCTGGAACGCCCTTGTTTGTGCCACCACAAAAACTAACTCCCGAATGGCTAGCAGCAATGACAATTTCTTCCCAGCCCAGCATCGAGTACTTGTGTGACGGGAAGAAGCTTCCCTGGGATGCCGGAGCAGTCCTTGTGCTGGTGGCTGACACGGCCGCTGACAGGGGCTGGAGTGAACGATTTGCATTGGCCGCTGCATGCTTGAGAGCAGCCACCATGGCCACTGCCCATGTCCATGCGTGTCCTATAATTTGGGCCTGCTGCAAGACAGCTGAATCTGAGCTGTGCAGCTGTCCTCTCACAGAGCGCTGGCGACATCTGATCAAGGTCCTTTATGGCGGTGGGTAGGCCTTTGCGCATTGTTGTGACCACCCCATGGCAGGTGGAGGTGTGGCAGGTGTCCTCACCTCGAGCTCTACAAGCCTTGGTCAATCGCGCTGCTGCTACTCGACTGTCCGACATGATTTTTCACAGCCCTATTGCCAAGTCTCCTCTTACCGTTCTGGCTTTCTTTCTCTGTCCCTCTCCCTTTCTAAGTGCTCCTCTGTCGGTCCATTTCATTGCAGATTGCGAGGCCCTGGCTTCAGCGACGGCACAGGGACACTCGGACATTTTACGGATGAGTCGGATCACCACGCCTATCCAGGCTTCACATGTGACTGTTGCACACTGCAGGCCTTCCCGTCCTCATGTTGCGCAAGGACAGTGTCAGTAGCATTGAAGCATCAACCTCAGTTTCGACATGGTTGATGGGATTGATGTCTAACTGATCACAAATGCAGTCGTAGGTAGGTGGGGTTTCCATGGATCATAGTGCCGTCGTGCAATGTTGTTCAGCATTCAGCACTGAGGAATTGACGGCACCCAGATGTATGTCCTGCAGGTGGTTGGGAAAAACATGCCATACGTGAGCGTGTAGCGCATCAGTGAGTCCCTGAGGCTTCCAAGGTCTGCTTTGCTGAGCCAAATCGTTGCTTTCAGCAGGGATGCAGAGGTGTTGGCACGATGCCGCGTGGTTGCCCCGTCCTGGCACAAGGCACTGTCGGCACTGCCAGCGCCTGCAGGACGTGCAGGTCAGTTGGAGAAGTCGCTGGTGCGCTTTGGTCGGAGCGTCTCTTCCAAAAGACGCTGGGTCTTCTGGCAGTCTCTCTTGCAGTTGCACCAGCATAGAGGGGCGAGACGAAGATCCACAGAGAAAGTGAGCTACGAAGAGATGCTTCAGCAGGGAATGGAAGAAGATCGCTTTGCAGAAGCTCGTGCGGTCATCGCTGCGGATGTTCCCAGGACGCTACAGTCTTCCGACGCCCCTCCATCTCTTCGGCCGGAAAGTGCTCTGAATCCTCTTCCCCTAGAGGAGCGTGCAAAAGCCTTGTCTCGAATTTTGACTGCTCTGGCAGCAGCTTGCCCGTCAGTGGGATACTGCCAAGGCTTGGATATGGCTTGTGGGTTTATTTTATCCGTGGCAGAAGAGGCTGCAATGGCTGCTGATGGACGGGAGTTGGAAAGATCAGTTTTCGCATTTCTTCTGGCAGTGCTAGAACTTGGCGTGCGGGAGTGGTTTGAACCCCCGCTCCTGGGCCTACGGGCAGCGACCCTTGCCTTCTGGAAACTGTTGCAGAATGATTTGCCACTAGTGGCGCAGCACTTGGCATCTGAGTGTGTTGGTTGTGAGCTCCTTGTTCTGCCGTGGTTGCAGACCTTGTTTTGTGGTGTGCGCTGGATGCCACGGGATGTGCTCAGCCGAATTTGGGAGGCTTGGCTCTTGGATGGAACGCCTAAGGTGCTTTTCCGAACGGCGCTGATGCTATTCCAGCGGTCGGCTGACTCTCTCTCCCAGGCATGCTTGGAGGACATTTCGCAACAACTCAAGCAATGCCCGCCTGGCCTCAGCTGTAACCCTGCAACTTTCTTAGAACTTGCCTGGCGCACAAAAGTGACCAGCAGAGTTTTGAGCTCCCTCTTGGCAGAGGCGGATGAAAGGCTTCGCGAAAATTCTGGTGCCTTCAGATGCAGGGTTTCATTCACTTTGTCGTTGTTCAGGGAGGTGTCCTCAAATCTTTCCGCAACAGTTCCAGATATGCGTCAGCAAACGGGTTTCGTTCAATAATCCAACAAGAAGAGCTTCTAACATCTCCAACAACACTCCGTTGCTTTTGGACCTGGACGTGACATTGAACGAGCTCCCTGAATCGCCCTACCAGTCGAAGATCTAGACAGTACTAGGCAGCTCAGGATAGGTTTGGCGGCGTTGCGGCGTCCTCCGAGTGCTGCCTCCTCTTGGCAACAGGTCTTAGACGGCGCTACATCTTGTGGAGAAAGCTGGAAAGCTGAAGAACGGCACCTCTTTGCCTGAGCTTTAAGGGCTTACAGGGTCCTTAGGGGTTGCATTTCTTGCAGTGCAACCTCCCCATGGGCTAAGTGCCTGGGCCCGGCCCAATCACAAGGGTCCATTCCCAATTGCAACGCTACCTGCTGACCTCAGAACAGGTGCAGAGATTGCAGTCGGTTGGGCGCTCCTATTCTAGTACTAGTTAGTTTTTCTTCACGTAGAGTCAGTGGTCATTTCAATCTGCGCCGCCCTTCAGCCTGTGACTGCAGGCACTGTGTACGTGGAGCCAAACGAGGTCGTCGAGTTGACCGATGAGCTCCTGGAAAGTCAAAAGGACATCCTCTAGATTCTTGTGGAGCTGCGCAGGTCGCAGCATGCAGTTTCGTGCCAGGAACTGAAGCTGCTGGTTCGCCGCATTCTCGGGAGCGCTGTGGAGGGTTGTGACGCACTGCAGGTCTTGCACGGAACTTTGTCGTGACAACAGTGCCAGTCTTGCACTATCGTAATATAGTTTTCACGTTGCATCTGGCGATGACAAAAAGGCAAAATGTCACCAGAAAATCTTTTGACCTCATCTGCACAGAAGGACAATGTCCCTGGCACTGTCCCACTCGGCAAAGGACATTCGGCGGTGCTTAGAGGCCAGGCAGACCTGTCACCTGTCTGTACTATCCTGTTTGGGAGAAAATGTCCTGCTCGGATCCAGGCTGCGGCACGCATTGACCTGGCGCGCGCGAGACTGTTTCTGGGCGAGGACATGGAAGGAGAGGCGAGCTGCAGTCGTTTCACCCGTTTGCCAGATTTTCTGAATCCAACTGACTTCTGACAGGTGCCCAATGTTGGAGATGATGGGATCATAGAGGTGAAGCAGGTGGGCGGAAGTGGAATCCGAGCATCGATTCTATCTAGAGCGTTCAAAGGCACGGAATCCCTGCCTCATACTGCGTGGTGGCAAGCGGGTGCGGGACCTGAAAGCGATAGTTCTCCGCAACGCGGTCCCGCTGCCTCAGCCTTCGAGGGGTTATCACAACCACCCCCCTCCTCTGCCTCCTCCGCGGCAAGGGTGGTGATTTTTATTTATTGCTCTTAATTAATAGTATTATTAATGTGCTGGTTTTGGTTTGGGCTCTGTTGCGTTGGTTCAGGGAACCTGTTCCAATGCACCGATGGCTAGCGATGCAGCAATGGTTAAGTGTGCGCTGCACGGTAGCAATAAGATCCCCCCGCCGAGCCAAGTGGTGGCCGTGGCAAGATACCATGCATAAGCAGATACAAGATCTGGCTAGGTGTTTCTATGTGATAGTCTGCGTGGTCGTCTCTACTTCGCAAGACTGGGTCTGCAAGACATGTATGGTATGTCTTGGCTGGCTGATTCTTTCTTCGTCATCTGGGTGGAGGTCTGGATATGGTTAAGTCCACTAGCGGGTTGCATTCGTAGGCCGCACGTATGATATTGATGAGGTCTTTGCTTGCAGCCTTCTGGACAGTGGCATGCTGCTCTGCTAAGAACGGCTCGGAACCTGGAAAGTACGGACTGCATTCCCGACCGATATGCAGGCTATACTTGGGGCCACAGGCCCTGCTGGCATTCGCAGTTCTTTGGCTGTTCAGTGTGACTCTGCTGGTCGGCTTTTACGTGCAACATGTATTTTGTTGCTGGCTTTTCGCGTAGCCCTGTCGCTGGCATCCGCAGCACTTGGCTATGCAACACCAGCGCTTCCGCTTTGGAGTCGTCCAGGGGCCACGGCATGGCTGGCCATGATGATGATCGCGACGGTCTTGAGACGGACGCCCCTGCCTACAGGGCGACAGGCCTCCAGGTGCGGCCCACCAGAGATAAGGCAGAGCCCTCGTGCCTACCATCACTTTTTTGGGGCAAGCCTACCTCCAACCCAGTGTTTCATCCGAAAGGCCCGCCTCTGCCGCTAGGAACGGACCTGCAACAGTTCATCGACGCCGAGCCCACATCGGATGTGGAAGAGGCTGTCAGAACATCCCCAAGCCCGGAAGCCCCACTGGAGGCTCCCGCCACGGCACCGTCCGCAGATCCTCCCCCACCACCACGACGGAAACTAGATACATTCGAGGCATCCCAGCTCATCTGTACATCCCTCCCCTGGTTGGAGGAAACTGCTGAGTCTGAATGTGGCGCTGAAGCTGCAGATCCAATGGTGGCGTGGCTACAAGCACTAAGGCACTGCCAAAGGCAGCGCAAACTGCTTCAGTGCCTAATCCTACTTCTCATAAATTGGACATAGTGATTTCATGCCAGAGCCTATGTGTCACTCAGACGGCGACTCACATGCTGATTTCAGTGCCGCATGCTCGGCAACACCCCCAGCATTGCTATTACCGCTGTGAAACCGCTTGGGGCCGACTTTATGTATGCCTGTGCAGCAGACCGGTCCACCACTACGATGCCCTCCAAGCCAGAAGAAGCTGCGTGGGTTCCACGTGTTGTGTTTTCTGGTTGCTACTGCTTCGTTTCGTTAACACCGGAGTTTCGTTAACACCGGCAGAGCAGCTGCAGCAGATGCGAGGGTTGCACCCGATGTCCAGATGGGTGCTGGTACCTCAAGCTCCGCCTGGATTAAAATTTGTGCATAAAGTTTGTGCACGTACCGAACTCTGTGCAAATGAGCGTACCAATTTTCGGTGCAATTTTCGAGCAGGCCTACAAACACAACGTCGGTCCAATCATGCATCCTATGATCGCACGAGTGCTTTCGTACACGCCATACGCCGTGCATCGCAGGCGGCAGATGGACGAACCATATATACGGGAGTCGACGTGTCGTGCTACAAGGCCACAAGCGCTTGCTTCCCCTCGGCAGCTGGCCGCATCACACTGCCTGCGCGGCCTGCTGCAGGCGATCCCAGGACTCTTCGGGCAATCAGTCTGAACGTCGGGGGTGTCTCGGTGGCAGGCACGATGCGGTTGCAGCCATGCCACTGCGCCCAGGATGGACTCGCCAATCGCCCCAACAGGCCCCTCCATCTACCGGCCTCGACGAGTTGGCCCTTGATCATGAAGCACGAGCAGGTGGCCCTCCAGTGGGCCTCATACGTCAAGAACTTCGGCAGTACAAGGCACAGGCTCCACCTCCTACCCTTCGGCGGCTGCTCAACGCATTCTTGCTTTTGTCGGGCCGGGCGAGTGACAAGCAAAACATTGCAGTATCTGGATCAGCAGGTGGGAACAGTGATTCGGCTACGTGTCTTCAATTCCGCTCATGGCTTGCTGTTAGTGTCATTGTACACACTGGCCTTCGATTACACATTCAGGCCATTACCAGACAATGCTGAGTGGATATCAGCGACATCCTTTGGCCCATGGCTGGATTCGGATGATCACAGATGACATTATGGCAGCGCGTCTTTGCAATGAACAACAACGTTCGAAATGCAACAGCAATGTGCTCGGACTGCAATAAGACGTCATGACCCGCGGTGCTGGAGTTTTGCGTATTATGGCTGCTCTCAACACGTCTGTGCAGTTTCATGTCGGTGCCATGATACATTGAGTTGAGGCCTCTTGTCAATAAGTTAATGGTATGCATCGCTTGGTCACACGTGACGTGGGCTGGTGTCTGTTGTGCCATACGTGGTGGGACACCCTTGTTGAGAATGCACATCTGCGTAGCATGTTAGCGTAGCTTTCGCCAACTCTTCACATTTGCTAAACCCGGCACCAACGATTCGCCTGCGGCACGGCTTAAATTGAAACTGGGCCCTGCCCTTGCACTGTCCTGCCCAGGCCGGGGCGGGGCACAGCAGCCCCCTCCCAATCACAACCACAATATCTATGTCAGGGTTGTGAAAGGTCCATGCATGTTCTGTTTTTACTGGCACGATGTTGTTTCAAGCGAGTTAGCATGGCTCAAACAAGTGGGAGGGCAGCCTGGAAGGCAACTCATCAAAGCAGGACTAATCTCAAATCTGGAGCACAACCTAAACAAACATAAGAATAATCATGCTGAGATATGCTGAGTTTTGTCTCCGGCCCGGTTACGAGTAATCCTACTAGCCTTATCCTACAACCGTTAAAGCAGAAATGAGCAAAAATTAGTCATACCAGCCAGACTTGGAATACCACCCATCACAACAAGAATCATCATGCTGCGTTTTCCCTGTACTAATACTCATGCTAAACCTAGGCTACGGCCCGTACAAACATGTTAAGTGTTGTCCATGGCCCCATTACATACCTGTAGGGCTGCCCCTAGACTTACCCTTCAGCTAGCCCGAGCCTGCCACTAGATGTACCCCCATCCTGACCGTTGGCCGACTCCTCGGCCTTTCCTGGGCCTTGGCCTAGCTGGCCCTCGGCCTGCCCCCAAGGCCTCTCCTGGACGAAGCAATGCCCGACCCCCGCACTGCCCCAGACCCGAGCCTAAGACGTACCCTAGCCTGGGGCGCGGGGCTTCTATACGTCTTCTTATTCCCGAAAGCATCGCGAAGGGTTCTTCCGTGCAGAGCCGGGTAGATGAGTACATAGATTACAGACATAGAATCGAGTACATGACTTGATGACTTGACACTTGACTCTACGTTTATGATTTCCTTAGTTGACTCTACACCTTGCTTGACTCTATGCCTTACTTGACTCTATGAACACTTGATTTTATACTTTACTTGACTCTATACCTTTGAGAACTTGACTCTATGACTCTGTGACTCTGTGACTTACTCTGTGATTTACTCTCTATGACTTACTCTCTCTACTTACTCTCTCTACTCTACATGACTTACTCTCTCTACTCTACTCTACATGACTTACTCTCTCTATACTCTACATGACTTACTCTCTACATCCCGATATCTAATCTCTCTTCTAAAGCCAGGGGTGGCACCGTCGTCATCCATCGGGAACGCAACCCTTCACAGGGATTGGTTTCCTCGAGCGCTCAAACGCTGGGTAAAGTTACACATTGTAGGGTTCCCGTGCAACCCTTCACAGGGATTGCCATGGCCGAGCGCCCAAACGCTAGGTAAAGTTACACAGTTTTTAACTTAACAGGCGCCCCGCGCAACCCTTCACAAGGATTGGCCTCCTCGAGCGCTCAAACGCTAGGTAAAGTTACGCATTTTAGGGTTCCCGTGCAACCCTTCACAGGGATTGGCCAGGTCGCGCGTTGAAGCATGTTGAAACGCTAGGTAAAGTTACACATTTTCAGGGTTGGCATGGCCAAGCGCCCAAACGCTAGGTAAAGTTACACATCTCTTAACCTTTCAGGCGACCGCGCGCAACCCTTCACAGGGATTGGCCTCCTCGAGCGTTCAAACGTCAGGTAAAGTTACACATTTTCTACCTCAACAGGCGCCCGCGCGCAACCCCTTCACAGGGATTGGCCTCCTCGAGCGCTCAGACGCTAGGTAAAGTTACACATTTTAGGGTTCCCGTGCAACCCTTCACATGGATTGGCCTGGTCGCGCGTTGAAACGCTAGGTAAAGTTACACATCTTAAGGTTCCCGTGCAACCCTTCACACGGATTGGCCTGGTCGAGCGCCCAAACGCCAGGCAAAGTTATACATTTTGCGGTTCCCGTGCGACCATTCACAGGGATTGGCCTGGTCAAGCGCCCAAACGCCAGGTAAAGTTACACATTTTGCGGTTCCCGTGTAACCTTTCACAGGGATTGGCATGGTCCAGCGCCCAAACGCTAGGTAAAGTTACGCATTTTAGGCGCCATGCATAGAGTCAGAGAGTCACATTGAAACCACATTAATCAGGGATGTCTATATAGTAAGGTTCCGGAGCTAGGAAAAGAAGACTTCTGCGTCATGCTGGACTCTACCCTGCTAAACTTGAACATTTGTGTTCATAGAATGAACTACATCGAGTCAAGTGCATGGTACATAGATGACTCCATGACTCTATGACTCTTTCTCACTCTGACGCTATAACTCTATAACACTATGACTCTATGATTCTGTCTCACTGTGGCTCTATGATTCTATCTCACTGTGACTCTATGTATGACTCTATGACTCTTTGAACTATGACTTGTGCTTGACATGTACTCGACGCTATGCCTCTATGACTCTATGAACTATGACTTGTACGACTCTTGACTGTATGTGACACTCCGACTCTGTGACTCCGTGCTTTTGACTCGGTGACTCTATGATCCTATACACTGGATTCTATGACGTAACGCAACACTCTTCGCTGATGATGCTTTCGGACCAATTGTCTTGTAGTTTTAGTTATAGAAAATCAATATCATTGCTGTCATTAGTACCATTCTGGCTATTATTAGTATTGTTTTTTATGACTATATTTATAGTGGTAGGTAGTCTTGGATTTTTCATATAGGAACCACGGACCACTTTGGGGTTGTGGCACGGGGAGGATCGGGGGGGCTCATTGTTGCCGCGCAGCATCCTGGTCCCACAAAATGGAATTTCTCAGATGCCCATCTCGCTGACGCGAAGGAAGTCTTACATTTTTGCTACCATTTGCACTCATTTCTGGTTCTCGAAATCGTTTGCATCTCACCAGTACTGGGGGGAAACGATTTTTACGGGAGGCGGGAGGGCGGCTTCGAGCTACAGCTCCCGCAAAAATTGAGAACTCTCCTGAAAGCCTTCCGAGATCTTCTGAGACGTGGTGTTTTCTGTGCTCATTCTCGTCGGCTCAGACTGCAAGGTAGTAGGTTATCGCCTCGAGCCGCCGGCCCAGCAACAAGAGGCTCACAGAAGCCTTGCAGACGCGTGTGTGTGTGTGTGTGCATGTTGCCTGGTGATGGCAAGTCTAGCCCACCTACACTTGGTTTTCCGAGGCTAGGGAAGTCAAGCCAGGGATTACTACTTACTGGCCCGAATGCTGGGGGCAAGACAGTCGTCCTGAAGACTTTGGGACTCCTCGCCCTGCTGGCCGGGCGCCCGGTCGGAAGCGTGGAGCCTTGTGGAGCCAAAATCAAGAGCCCAAGGCACGCTGTGGCATTCCGGTGCCAGCAGGAGAGTCTCCGCGAGTTGACTTCTTTGAGGTCCACTGCTTTTGATTCCCGGAAGTTAGAGCAGCCAGAGCGTCGCAGTGTCGCGGACGCCTGGACCCCACAGCTCGAACACTACATTCAGTGCAGGTTGTCCTGGCAGATGTGGGCGACATGCAAACGATTGCTCACAGCTTGGAATGCCTCAAAGCCCAATCCATGACCACTTCTACACAAGTGCTTCGTTACTTAGGTTGATGACTTGTCAACCTACTCTGCACATCTCGTAGCGCTTTGTCCTGAGCTTCCTCTAGTTGAGATAGGAGCTTCGGCTTCAGTGCAGTGCTCCTCGCAGGTCCCGCATCATGCTCTCGAGCGTCCAGCACGTCGGGCCTCGAGCTATGGTTCTGGTGGATGAGGTTGGAGCCTAGAGGGGGCCAGTGAGAGCCTGTTTTGCCCGAAGCTGTTTTTGGGAGGCCGGAACTGGAACGGATCCGCAACAAGGGGCAGCTCTTGCCCGAGCCATGCTGGAGGCCGGACGAGCTCCCAGCTGGCGTGTGTGCTTGTATTGCACCACGAAGCACTAGATCGTAAACTGTGGGCCGGAAAGGATGTAATTGACAGCGATGGCCCAGCAACGATGCAGTGCAAGCTTTCAGAGTTTTTTCTCCTTCTTCGTGGAGTTTCGGACAAGCACTAAAGCCGGCTCCTTTTGAGCTTGTGGGAGTTGTTGTTGACGGATTTGGTTTTGGGTCAAAAGCGATGTTAGAGGGCGTCTGCTCTTGATTCTGATATGTCAGGCATCTGAGACCCCTTATTCCCTGATCAATTCGGAAGGCTGCTCTCTCCGCCACTAGGGTGCCACACCCCCGCCTCCAGGGATCATTACAACAGACAGCAGAATCGCCGAGAGGCAACAGCCGCAGTGCATGTCTGCACAAGTAAGGATGCCACAAGTATTTTCGATTCCCTGTTGACAAGCATCAGCATCGAGGAGTTTACAAGACAGCCTGCAAGGCGCACTGCCTTGTTCACATCCGCTTACCATGTTTACCGTCCCGCTGGCTTTCGTTTGACTGGCTTTCACTCTTTGCAGCCGGAGGCCGCTGTACACAACCGGGCGAAATGCCACGATCTCATCAAACACAAGCCAACTTCGATGCCAGCATTTTAGTGCAACGCCCTTGAAGAAGAGACAGTCATTCGAGGACTGAGCTCCAAGCCGGTCGTCGAAGGTGCAGTGAGACCCTTTCGCACCATTATGCAACGATGAAACGGTATGTAAGTAGGGCTCGCTGCAAGGCTGTCGCTAGGCAGTAAAGCAGTGGCATCTGTGGATTCGTTCATTCAAAGGCCTTGAAGGAAAGCCGAGATCACCAAGACTTATTGAAACCCAACACAAAGAGCCGCGGCTTCGTCCCTTGTGACATGAAGATCCTCAGTGTTAACACATCGCTAAGCACCTTAGAAAATTTCCATGATGCCGACGAGGGTCCCCAAGAAGCCCAACCCTTGTGCACTGGATTCAAGACCTGGGGGAGTCCAAACCTGAGCCTTCGTTGGCACTTCTGCCGCTGTCCAACTCCTTGGCATCCTCTGCCAACTGCTAGAATTGCTTCTCCGTCCCGCAGGGCGTATGACTCATTGACCGACTGGGGCCTAGGGCATGAAGCATGTTGATGTAGATGCCACGAGCCACGGAATCAACAAATAATCCGAAACACCTTCACATGATGCCGGGCATTTGTCCAGGCATTTCTGGAATCAGGCGCTCGTGTTGTTGCGACAACGACTCTTGGCATAATCGACGGCTAGATGGTCTGAAAGGTTAAAACGCATCGGTGCCAACTTCCAAAGCTTGCAGATTGAGGCACTGCGTTCAGCTCAAGAACTGGGCCACGGAGGCCAACGGTGGATTCAACGTCTCACCCTTGTTGCGATCGTTCGATGTGCGAGTGCCTGCAGCCATGAGTCTTTGCGATTCTCTGCGCCAGACCACAGCGACACGGGAGAGACACTTGTAAAAAGACTTCAAGCAAAATCCGAGCCACAAAGAACACTTTCCAGCATTGTGCATTTCACATGAAGAGACTAGAATCATCCACACCTAACGTCCGGCACGTGTTGCGTCAAGCTTTCGATGGATGTCGCCGGCGTTCAGTTCCGAGCCTAGTCTTTACGTGATTGATTGACTCCATGTGCCACTGTAGCGCAACAGTTGGTGGCCTAGTGTTCAGTATGCCGCAGTTCACATCGAGACGCATTGAGGCTTCAGGAAATTGGTGCAGAGGACGGATGGCCACGGTTGCTGACAGCCGAGGAGGCAAGAATTGACATGAGCTGTTCTTGCAGGGCCTTGCTTCTGACAGCGTTTTCACGTTCTGTCGCTGGAAGGTTGCTGCGATCCTAGCTATTCCAGGGAATGATTCTTGTGCCGAGCTTACTTTGGAGCGACAAGCGTCAAGTGCATTAAGCACAGGTCAACACTTGCTGCATGCCGAGAGTTGTTGGCCTCGCCCGCCCATCCACACAAGCAGGCAAGTGCCGCGCGAAATATCAAGTCGAATACTTTCAAGACAGATTCTTCTCATCGCCAACTTGTAGGTATGAAGCACATGTATATACCTTTTCTTGAAGGAAGTCATTCACACCCGTCTTGCCAAGATTCTCTGTCCACTCTTTCCATTGATCATGCATCTTGAAGATCTATGTTTCAACATCCAAGCCTGGTGGTTGCCCAGGCACACCTCGGCTTAACGCTAGCTTTCGTAGGATTCAGCAAGGCTTTCGGCTTCATCAGAGACGTCTCACATGCAAGTGGGGCCATGCAACGCCTGCATGAGTTTGCACGGTGCAAGATAGGCTTCGATACTTACTTAGTCTTGCAATGCGGACTGGGTTGGCTTATCCTCCTGTTTTGTTGTCAGAAACATAGCCTCAAACTTCTGCATTTGTACGGGGGGTCTTGGCACTCTTGCTGCTGTGCTGCAATTTCTTGGTGTGCATCGGTTCAATCGCTGCAGGGCCATTACCTGGCGAGCTGAAGGACGTCTTTCACCATTGGATGTCGAGAAATCGATGGTCTCTTGCGGAGAATCGGGTTCTAGGGATGGAGCAGCCTTAGCGGCAAGGATGTTCGCTTGCAGGCTCTTGGTCGAAGACGGAACGGCTTATATAAGCCTGACAGAGGCAGTTGTGCAGCTGGAGACAGGGATGGGATGTCGCTTTTAACCGCGATGAGTACGTGACATGATGTGACACTCGTCTTCTGGATTGATGTTGTTGAAACTCATTGGGTCACATTCGCGAACATGGCGACTCGGGGAGGATGGCCCGACGAGCTGATATGGGTCCATGGTTTCCAACCCAGGGAGGTGGACTGGCACTGGAAGCAAGATACCTTTGATGCCGCTTTGGTCTGGTGGTGTCATGTGCGTTGGTGTTTCTGATTCCCTTGACGCGCCTATCTTGATGTGACAGGCTGCTGCCGGTGGACCAGATGTGTGTTTCCTCTTTCGCAGATCCGGGTGCAGCTTGGGATGGCTTGCTGCAATGATTAAGTTCAACGGGAACAGCAAGCCATAAGCGAAGCGATCGTTCACGGCTTGGGTTGTCCAGCGTGAACAACAAGACTTCGAAACGTGTGCATGAACGTCGTGTGCACTGCGGGCTTGATTTGAACAGCAGCGCATCCCCATCTCTACAGGCATTTCTGAATTTCCAAGGTCCTTCGCTCTGGAGTTCTTGAATTATGTGTTAGAGGAAACTGCAGTTGAGCATGTTTGTTTTGAATGTGCTTGTTTGTACGAAGGTCGCTCCAAAGCACAGCACAAACATCATTCGGTCTCCAACCGGGTTTGCAATCCCAATTTTGGGTTTGGGTTGTATCCTCCTTCCCGGTTGGGGTTTCTGTTTCGCTTTTTCGGGCCTCGGGCCAAAAGGTTGCCACCCATCGTCTCTGTTGAGGGTTTTGAGCCTCTTCGCGTTTGATAGTCGGGACTGAGTCACCCCTTTGAGGGTCAATGGTTGCCACCCATCTTTTTCTTTTCAGCTTTTGGGGAGGGCATCTTTTCTGGGCAGCAGAGGCGGAGCTTGTGAACCAGTTCACCAGTGGCCCATTTTCGGGTTGAGGATTCGCCACCCATCATATCCTTCGTTCCCACGATTCGGACTTTGGCACTCGGTATCTCCTCTAGAGGTTGTGGGTCTTGTCCAACCAAACCTACTTTGGTTCCGCTTCTTGGGAACCAGCTGCGCTACTTCATATACAATGTTTTCCAGGCAATCCACACTTCTTTCGATGTATCGGCGTGGCCACTCACCATTAGAGAGAGAAGCTCGAAATGTGCTCTGCATATTTGTACGCTTCTTGTTATTGGGTTAACGAAGCCGACATTAGAGTCTCATCAGAAGAAGGGTGGAGAATGCGTGACTGTAGTGTGTAGAAGCCTTGACGCAAGCCTGGCGAGTTCGACACACGTTCTCTGTTTACTGGTTTTAACGCTGCTGCTGCGAGCTTGGTGCTCGTCTAGTGTGAGATTTTGCGACATGCAAATGCATGCCTCAAAGGGGTTGAGAGACTGAATTGCAGCGGGACGGGGCCGGGGCCCCCTGAAGTTTAGGCCTCCAGTCTCTTGGTCCTTTTAGGCCCTCCTAGCTTTTGTCGTCTCAAGTTGTGTTTCAAGCTACATGTGTCTCTGCATGTGGGTGGCGATACCGTTTCCGACTGAGACTGGAGACTGCTAGGTGTTGCTTGCCCAGCTGATAACGAGAAGCCACTTCATATCCGTGGGTGGCTTGAAACTTTCACGTACATCTGTCCTTCGTGCTTCCTTCGCGTTTCCATGATTTCCATCGAGTGAGCATGTTGAAACCTGTGAAGCCTGAATGGGTCAGCATTTGAGCAGAATAACTCTTGCGCCCAACGCGATCGTCCGGAAGGAACCACGAATAGGGGCCGGCTGGGGTTGCGCGGCGAAAGCCGGGCAGAGGTGGCTCGAAACAGAAGCAGACGAGAAAGCGGCGATGCAGTTGCACATCATGTCACATCATCCATCCATCAACCACATTAGCTTTGCTTCAGTAGTATATATGGAACGAGTTCTCAAAGGAGATGGACAGGTCGTCTGCAGCGCACGTCTCACGTCTCCGATGTCCGGAGCCTTGCCACTATGTGGCAGCAACATCTGTCACCGCAAGTCAAGGTGCAGACTGCTCCGGAGGCCCTCCGCCAAGCTGGGCATCTGTAACTTTCGGCGTGGTGCTTTGCTCGCATGCAGCAGGACCGATGTGGGTTGTCTTCAGGCACAGTTTTCTTCATCAAATTGCATAATTCACAGTGGATTCTAGCCGCCTGTGTTCTGGAATAGTCATCCAAACTGGACGTGCTACCTGTAGATGTGGCCAGAACTGGGGGATCAAACGCGGAGTCACTGTCTGTCAAAGGTGCAACAGCCAGCCAACCTGAACCTGGGACTGCGGGGCGTTGCCGGGAGGTCAGACTTTGATCATCCGGGGTCTCTGAGTTCGTCCAACGGTTTCAGCATCCACTCTGTTCTTTGGCCGTTTAGCTGCGTCGTGCTCAGGTTCTGCGGTTTCTCGGTTCCTTTCGCTTCGCCTGCTTATTGGCTACTTGTTTCTTTCGTTACATTTCTGGAAAAGGGGTTGACAAAAGAATTCTTCAAGGGTCCTAGTATCGCCAGGATCCAAAGCAAACTTCCCAGAGATCAGAGTATCAGGAGGGGCTAGCATAAGGACCCAGACGGAAACAGCGAGGGAGAATGCGCCAACGAACGAGCGGAAGAAAGAGAGAAGGACAGATGTGAAGAAACAAAGACTGAGCCAAGCAACGAAACCAGGCGCAAACGAAAGGACCAGCGAGCGCAAACGAGAGACACACGCAGAATCAAAGACAACAAGACAGAGCGAAATAAACACACAGAGACCAAAGGAATGTCAGGAAGCACTGAGAGGGAAGAGCCAGGTTTAGGAAACAAATGACCAATCCACGGGAAAAGCCTGCATAAGCGAGATATTCTTGAGAACATCAAAAAGATGCAGCCAGCACATGCGAACAGCATGCGGCTTGACATGCTACAGACAGCTACAGCATGCGGCAACAAGACGCTATATCACGAGATAGATGAATGGAGAGATTTGAAGACCAAATGTTGTTGAAGCTGCCAACCTCCGTTCATCCTTCGCAGACGCCTCACGACTTATCTGTGCTGAGCTCCTGCCAAGCGCCACGCTAGACCTTTCACGGCATGTATCCAAGGCGTGTTTTTGTCTTTTGTGCTTGAAATTTATCATCTGCACAGTCATGTGCCATTTTGGATCAAGTGCCATGGTGTCTCTCTGTGGTCATGGTCCCGTGCGGCGCTCCAGACCCAGCTTGTGCGGGAAGCCTTCAAAAGTGAGTGTGCGCGACCACTGGGCAGGTTGCGGCTGAGGAAAGATTTCTGTAATGTTGCAGTGGAACTGGTTCCTTTTTGCGTCCTCCCCCAAACTGATCAGGATTGCAGGCACTTGCATCAAATTCAGGTTTCCGGCTTGGGGCAGTCGCCTTATACTTTTGCGCTGCCTACGTTCCATCATCTGAGCGCATCTGGTCAGGTTTCTACCTTTTCATGTTTAAAGTTTAAGCGCGCAGCCCAAATCTCCGTTGCAGCGCTTCATGGAGAAGGAGGCTTGGACTGCTGCGGTGAAGCAGCCGTAGCGGGCCTTTCTGGATGTTGTTGCAAAGCACCACTCAAGGTCCTTGACAGTTGGGGCTGGATGCTGGAGCTGCGCTTGGGGGTCCGACCCAGCAAGTCGTGGCAAAATGCATTCTAGCAGAGCGCGATGTGGGCATGTATCTTCGGCTGGCTGCCTGACTGTCGGCGCAGATTTTTGGCTTCACAGCCGATCGGTAAGCGCACGAAGTGCGGCCCGTCCAGCGCATCTGGCTTGTTCTTGAATTTGGGTTTTGGTTTTCCTCTCCTTGCATGTTATGGTTAACCAGTTGAGCTGTCTGCCCTTTTGCGGGTTTCGGCTCAGGCACTCCTCTCCCTTGCCTACCTTCCATCATCTGAGCTCAGGTGTTCATGTTTCTACCACTCATCTGCTTGTCGCGCTCAGGCTGGCAGACGCCATCTCCTTTTGAGTTGTTGAGGGCTTTGGGTTCGGGGTCTCCCCTCATATTGGGTTTTCGGGCTTGGGAAAGTTCTCCTCTACTTTTGGTCCACCTTCCATCATCGGTTGAACATTTGACCTGTCTGCCGCTTTTGGGGCGTGGGGTTTGGGACAGCCCACTTATATGTCTGCGCCTTCCATCAATTGACTCAATTGTTCAGGTTGCTACGGCCTTTTTTCGGGTTTAAGTCCGCAGCAGCAGCCGCCATCTTTGGTTGAAATTTTGGGCCGGGCCTTGGGTTCGGGGCCGTGCTCTCCCATTGTGGGTGAACAGTTGACGTGTCTTTCGGGTTTGGGACAGTTCTGTTGTACCTCTGCGTTGCCTGCCCTCCATCATCTGAGCTCATCTTTGAAGGTTTCTGACGTTCATATCATTCTAGGATTTACAATTTTTGGCTTTGAGTTCAGGGCCTTCATCTCATACTGTGGTTGAGCAGTTGACCGGTCTGCCCTTCTTCGGGTGTCGGGTTGGGGCGAATCCTATTATACGTTTCCATTGCCCACTTTCCACCATTTGAGCACATCTGTTCATGTTCTTACATCGACCTTGAAGGTTTACGCTCGCAGCTGCATTTTCCTCCTTTCAGTTAGGGCTTTGGACTCGGAGCCTACCTGTGACTGCACCTGTGATTCTGTTGGTGAGCAGTTGACAGGTTTGCCGCTTTTCCCGTTTTCGGGTTTGGGGCAGTCCTCTTGTGCTTTTGCGTTTCCTACCTTTCATCATCGGAGCTCATCTGTTCAGGTTTCCACCGCTCAATGTTTCCGGGTTTGGCTTGCAGCCGCCATGTCCTTCTGTGATTAGGGCTTTGGGTTCGTGGTCCACCTCGCATATGGTGGTTGAGCAGTCTACCTGTTTGCACTTTTGCGGAATTTCCGGTTTGGTGCAGTCCTCTTCAAGTATTGTGTTGCCACTTCCCACCATCTTAGAATCTTAGCACAATTTTTCAGGTTGTTACGCTCTCCTTTCCCCTTGTGTTTGAACAACTGTCCTGTCTGCCCCTTTTCGGGTTTCGGGTTTGGTCCAATCCACTTGTCATATTGTCGCTGAGCGGTTGGCCTGTCTGCCCATTTTCGGGTTTCGGGTTTGGGGCAGTCCTCTTTTATTGTTTGCATTGCTTAGCTCTGCGTTGCCTACCTTCCATCACCTAAGCTCACCGGGTTTTGGTTTTCACCGCTCACTAGTTTTTCGGGTTTAGGCTCGCAGCGGCCATCTCCGTTTGAATCTCCTTTCGGGGTCGTCCTTTTGTGTTGTGGTTTAACAATTGACCTGTCTGCTTCTTTTCGGGTTTCGGGCTTGGGGCAGTCCACTTGTGCTTTTGGATTGCCTACTTTGCATCATCTCAGCTCATTTGCAAATGTTTCTCACGTTCATATCATTTTAGGATTTAGGCTCGCAGCCGCCATCTCCTCTTGAAAATAAGGCTTGGGGTTCAGGGCCATCCTTGCAGACTGTTGTTGAACAATTGACCTGTCTGCCCTTCTTCGGGTTTCCGGTTTGGGGCATTCCTCTTGAAGTTTTGTGTTCCCCATTTTCCACCATCGTAGCTCCATTTTTAAAGCTGCTACGCCTTCCTCTGCCTTTGTGGTTGAGCAGTTGTCCTTTAATCTGCCCTTTTTCGGGTCTCGGGTTTGGTCCAGTCCTATTCTACTTTCGCGCTGCCCACCTTCCATCATTTGAGCTCATCTGTTCATGTTTCTACCAATCATCGGCCATGAAGGTTTAGGCTGGCAGCTGCATCTCCTTCTGGGGATAGGGGTTTGGGTTCGGAGCCCATGTGTTATATCAGTTGACAGGTCTGCCTCTTTTCGGGTTTCGGGTTTGGGGCAGTCCTCTTGTGCTTTTGCGTTGCCTACTTTCCATCATTTCAGGTCTCCACCGCTTATTCTTTTCGGGTTTTCGACTGCAGCCGCCATGTTCTGTTGCGATCAGGTTTTGGTTTTATCGTGGCTGAGCAGTCTACCTGTCTGTCTTTTTTAATGGCTTCCGGTTTGGGGCATTCTTCTTCAAATTTTGCATTGCCCACCCTCCAGCCTCTTAGCTCAATTCATCAGGTTGATACGCCCTCCTCTCCCGCTGTGGTTGGACAGTTGTCCTGTCTGCCCCGTTTCGGGTTTGGTGTTTGGTTCAGTCCTATTCGATTTTTGCATGAAGGCGCAGGCTCGCAGCTGCATCTCTTTCTGGAGTTAGGGCTTTGGGTTCGAAGCCCACGTATCATATTGCGGTTGAGCAGTTGACAGGTCTACGGCTTTTCCCGGCAGTCCTCTTGTGCTTTTGCGTTGCCTACCAGTCCTCTTGTGCTTTTGCGTTGCCTATCTTTCATCATCTGAGCTCATCTGTTCAGTTTTCCACCGCTCAATATTTTCGGGTGTGGCTTGCAGCCGCCATGCCCTTCTGTGATTAGGGCTTTGGGTTCGTGGCCCTCCTCGCATATGGTGGTTGAGCAGTCTACCTGTTTGCCCTTTTGCGGTTTTCAGGTTTGGGGCAGTCCTCTTCAAGTACTGTGTTGCCACTTCCCACCATCTTAGAATCTTAGCACAATTTTTCAGGTTGCTACGCTCTCATCTCCCCTCGTGTCTAAGCAGTTGTCCTGTCTGCCCCTTTTTCGGGTTTCGGGTTTGAATTAGTCCTATTCTACCTTTGCATTGTCCACCTTCCATCAGCTGAGCTCATCTGTTCATGTCTCTACCAATCATCAACCATGAAGGTTTAGGCTCGCAGCTGCATTTCTTTCTGGAGTCAGGGCTTTGTGTTCGGAGCCCACCTGTCATATTGTAGTTGAGCAGTTGACAGGTCTGCCCCTTTCGGTTTTCGGGTTTGAGGCGGTCCTCTTGTTGTTTGGGTTCTTACCCCTGCGTTGCCTACCTTCCATCACCTAAGCTCACCGGGTTTTGGTTTTCACCGCTCAATAGTTTTTCGGGTTTAGGCTCGCAGCGGCCATCTCCGTTTGAATCTCCTTTCGGGGTCGTCCTTTTGTGTTGTGGTTGAACAATTGACCTGTCTGCTTCTTTTCGGGTTTCGGGCTTGGGGCAATCCACTTGTGCTTTTGGATTGCCTACTTTGCATCATCTCAGCTCATCTGCAAATGTTTCTGACATTCATATCATTTTAGGATTTAGGCTCGCAGCCGCCATCTCCTCTTGAAAATGAGGCTTGGGGTTCAGGGCCGTCCTTTCATACTGTGGTGGAACAGTTGACCTGTCTGCCTTTTTTCGGGGTTCGAGTTTGGGCCAGTCCCCTTCTACTCCTGCCTGGCCTACCTTGCCTTTTCTGAACTCATTTGCTCCGATTGCTACCAGTCATCTTCTTTGCAGAGTCATGCTTGCAGACGCCGTGTTTTCTTGTATACAGGACTTTGGGTTTGAGGCCCTCCTGTCATGTCGTGGTTGTATACCTGTCTGCCTGCCCCTTTTCAGGTTTCGGGTTTGGGGTAGTCTCTTCATAGTTTGTATTGTTGATTCTTGCGTGCTTCTGTCATTTGAAATTGTCGGTCTTTTTTCGGGTTTCGGGGTTTTGGGCGGTAGTCCTCCTATACTTTCAGACAGGAGGCGTGGAATTTATGCTGAAACCCTCATAGGTATGCAGACAGGTAATCTGAGGGGCTCAGTTTTGCACGTAAGGTTTTGTGGGTTTTCAGCTACGGACGGTTCTGTGGGTTTTCTGCTGCGTAAGGTCAGGTTAACGACAGGGTTTAAGAGTAGGATGTTTGAGTAGTATTCCTACTTTCGCCGTGTCCAGTTGACCGTCGTCTAATTGTAATACAGACATGGCGAACCTTCTCGATACAGGAGCCCAAAAAACTGATCCGCACATCTGAATGCCGGCGTTTTGTTTTGAGCCGCGCACTGCCAAGCGCCCGCCCCCCCTTTCGAACTGCGTATTGAACTCGATCTGGGCTGCTCGGGTACGGCGTCCACATCTTCTGCTACCTGCGCCCTGGGCAGTTCGCAGGTCTTTGAAGTGTTTTTTGATTGAACACACACGAACGAAGATCTATACCTATACAGTAGATATCTATATGTATACCTATATCTATATCTCTATCTATATCTATATCAATATCAATATCTATATCTATATCTATATCTATATCTAAATCTAAATCTAAATCTAAATCTATATCTATATCTATATCTATATCGATATCTATATCTCTATCTCTATCTCTATCTCTATCTCTATCTCTATCTCTATCCGTATCTGTATCTATATCTATATCTATATCTATATCTATATCTATATCTGTATCTATATCTATATCTAAATCTAAATCTATATCTATATCTATATCTTAATCTATATCTATATCTATGTCTATGTCTACGTCTATATCTATATCTATATCTATATCTATATCTATATCTGTATCTATATCTATATCTATATCTATATCTATATCTAAATCTATATCTATATCTATATCTATATCTATATCTATATCTATGTCTATATCTATATCTATATCTATATCTATATCTATATCTATATCTATATCTATATCTATATCTATATCTATATCTATATCTATATCTATATCTATATCTATATCTATATCTGTATCGAAATGAACTGACAACGGGCATGTAGACAAAAAGGTAAACATAGACATAGACACAGATATGACATAAGCTTCAACATACACAAAGCTATAGAAATAAATGTAGATAAAAACAAACATGCCGATATAAACAGAAAATGGAAATAGAAATACAAATACAAATAGGAAAAATAGAAGCATATATGAAAATAGAAAGAGAAGCAAATGAAAAGAGCATTGAAGTAGATATGAATATAGACATAAACACAAACACAGATACAGATACGGATGCAGCTTCAAATACACACCGGCGATCAAACAGATCACACACGGACGCAACTGTATCTGTATATGATATGTCGATGCGTATACACAGTTGGAATGGATATGGAGGTGTAGAAGCATAGCGACCGGAAAGATGTTTATGTATGTGTTTAATGCATGTTTTTTGGGCAGCGATTGTTCAACAATCGTTGAAGAAAAGTCTTCTAACATGTCAGACAAAGATTTGTTATACGGATTCAGTACGGATGCTTTGAGGCCCTATTGCGCTCAGCTTGACGTCACATCCTGAAGGGACGCAGCGTGGCCAAGACGAAATGCTCAAGTTGCGGGAAATGCGGCCCGAAGATCTGCAGGTGCCCTGCCGGTATGCGGAAGCCAGAATAGAAAAGCCTACTGGTCCGTTCAGCGGTCACCGATCAAGCAGAAGCCCAGTCTACAGCCACCAAGAATGAGACGGCGCGCCTCCCTGCACACCTTGTGAATTCTGAGCAACCACGCCCTGCGTCTGCACAGAGTAGCAGTAGTTTCAGCAAAGCTGACCCACCGCCAAGATGAAGGAGCAGACCGAGGTTTTCATTCTGAAAAAGAAAGCTCGGCTAGAGAGGCTGTTATACTGGAAGCTTGACCATTGAACGCCGCCACTGCGGAAGCGACATGGCATAGGCCGCGCAGCTTGGAGCCCTTGGCATAAGGACGGTCTAAACTGGGAGTGCCCGCCGCAGTGGTGAGTTCATTTCCGAAGCACTGAAAAGGACAGTCTGTTGCACACTGAGCTTTTGACAAGCACACACACAGATCGTTGTCAACAGAGCATAATGAGAAGAGCGTATAGTGCATGGCATGCCACAAGACATTGCATGGAGAGTATGGGAGAGTACTATGACAAAGGAACACACGGAAAAAAAGGAGTGCATTGGAGCACAAGAGGCGCACGGGGACAAGAGGACAAGAGGACAAAGGGGACAAGGGGTTCAAGGGGGACAACAGGGACAAGGGGGACAAGGGATAAGATGACAAGGGGGGCCAAGGGGGACAAGGGGGACAAGGGGGACAAGGGGGACAAGGGGGACAAGGGGAACAAGGGGGACAAGGGGGACAAGGGGGACAAGGGGGACAAGGGGGACAAGGGGGACAAGGGGGACAAGGGGATAAGGGGCACAAGGGGACAAGGGGGACAAGGGGGACGAGGCGGACAACAGGACAAGGGGACAAGGACATTCAAAAGCAGCCGTGTTGTACATCTCAAGAGACCAAGGGCTTGCTTATGGAGAATCGCTGGTCGGCCAATGCCTGCTACTCCTGATGAAAACAGCTGACAGCGGACTACTCGTTGACGATAGCAAAGAGAGTTCCCATCAGTTTCCCATCCAGAGAGAGTTCCAAGTTCCGAGAGAGCAAAAGATTCCGGAATTGCACGTGCAGACGAACACTTCAGTTGAGCGGCACGCATTTTTTCTCGCTGCAAGTTGGAGCTTATATTTCATGTTCGTTATTTCTCTTGGAGGTCACTGGTCCGCAACAAGTCCGTTTTCAGATCACTCGGCAAGTATTAACACACGTCTGACATTGAAGCTGAGGCCTTCATAAATACGGGGGCCCGAGGGCGGTCCACTCTCTATACTTTGCGTCGCCTACATTCCATCATCTGAACCAATCTGTTCAAACTGCTACAGCTCACATCCTTTCAGGATTTTTGCCCGCAGCCGCCTTCATTGGGTTCGGGTCTTTCCTTTCATGTTGCGGTTGAACAGTTGATTTGTCGCTCCTCCATCCGGTTTGGGGTTTAAGTTTAGGTTTTCGATGTCATCATGCCCTCATCCTTGTTGCTGCCTACCCGGCCCCTTTCAGGGCTGCGGGTGTTCGCATCGAAACCCACCTTTTCCTTCCACAGTTTAGGGTTGCCAGTTGTCCATCCGGAAGTCCCTCAGTTCGTTCCCGCATGTTCGTTCGTGCGCAACATGCGCCTGTGGACCTGTCGAACTTCGTCGGCCTGTATTTTGCATGCTGAAATATTTTTTTGCTCCGGTGTTGAACAAACTCTTTGATCACTGGCAATGCACGAATCTTGCGCACTGCGTGCAACATGCTCAACCAACTTCGGATCCTGGTTCTGGGTGTCGGCGCACATGACTTGGCCTTCGTTTCTACTGCCGATTCTCAGCTGCCACTCATTCGAAGTAGATCGCAATGGTTGATAGCTCGCATTGGCGTCGAACAAATGCAGAATCCAAACTTAGTGAACTGATGCCTGGGCTGCAGGACGACATCGCAGTCTTGGAACGCACGTTAGCCGCGTGCTGTCCTTGACATTGGACAAATGGGATCGTGGCGAATATGATTTCTGGCCGAATGGTCGTCCGTTTGATTACAGTTGACTGAGCTTTGATGAAAGAAAGGCACAGAATGACTCTCCTAAGGAGAAGATGCTTCAAAATGGGAATGAGCACGTTGCTTCTCTCAATGCTCACAGTGGACAGTTGCTTGGTCTACGAATAGCCCTGCGTGCTCGGGAAAAGGTCAACATCCAGCTGGAGTACAGACTTCCCGATGGCTTCAACAAGCCGACGGAGTCCGGTACCAGATTTGCCCCTGGACGTACATATGTTAGGTACAGTTTGTATTTCAGCTTCACGTGTATGTAGGCCAGACCCGAATAGCGGGTGCGCTGCAGGTGAACTTCGCTGAAGCTTTGGACGTTTTCGTTCGTGCCTGTGGCTGCAATGGAGACCAGACATAGGTTGTGTGTATCCACGGAGTCCTGATGCGTAGACTGGAGAAGCTGCTTCAGCCATCGCTCCAGGTTCCAAATATCAAGAGAGGAGTTTCACAAGAAATGGTAGTGGTAAGTTGGTGGAGTGCCTGTGCTGCAATTGCCGGTATCTGTGAGTCTATATCGGCAAGCGTTGAAATTCAACACCTGTGGGCGGTTGCGACACACAACCCCACACACACAGAGGGCAACCGCAGAGAGTGCGTGCTAGGTTCGCATCAGGTGACTTATGCAGGCAGTGGTGGCAGAACCTCTGGTGCCAGGCGGCGTTCCCATCTTTAAAAGTTTGGTTGCCTCATTTCGATACTATCCACTCCCTCACCTGGCCCTGCTTGGTTTATGAGAGTTTGCTGACACCTCCGTTTTTCCACGCTGCTGCGAACAGTGCGGAATCATTATGCCTCCGGACATGCTGGCCGGGTGTGACCCTGTGAATTTTGCACAACCCGTCTCAATATTGCCCGCGATTCTCCCAGCACCGCTGAGTTTTGCGCTTGTTGATGCTGTTGACTCTGAAAGAGACTTCGGTAACTGCGCCCTTATCAGTGATTGTGCTCATGGTCAACCGACATGCTGATACTAAATGAGGTCAAGCTTATCTGGCTCGGTCACAACAGTGGCATCAGTCGAGTTCTGCAACCTGGCAGCAACTCGAAAACCTACTTTTCCGATGTGGTTGCTTTCGTCGATGTCCACAGACAGTCATAAGGAAGGGGCCTAGAGTCTAGTGCTGAAAGAGCTTGCTTTCTGGTGGGGGCTGTGCGATAATCGATGTGAGCCGAAAAGTTAAATTAGTAAGGTGTGTCAACTGGCCCACTCTTCGACTTTTGAGGTGGCGTGGTCATGGTGAAGGTGAAGTCCGTGTCAGCCTCAGCAAGTGGTCGTCGGTGTGGGTTTCCGGCTATGCATTGATTCGTGAGGCTCGACAGCTCATAGCCTTGGACCTTACCACCCAGAGCGATCCATATGTTGTAGCAGAACCTCGTCAGCAATCTGGCCGTTGCATTCGCTCGTGCGGACACTAGGAGCACATATGAACCAGGAGCTTGTTGGTGGGCAGCAGCGCGTCCGCACAAGAGCCATCAAGAACTGCGCTGATCCCGTGTGGGTCTTGCCCTCAGCTTCAATGACGCCTGAGCCACCGTCACAGCTGCAGGAGTTCAGCCAAGGATGAGACGCTAATGCTCAACATTCGGAACCCGAATGTGGACATTCTTCGCCTTTGCGTTTGGGATGCGGACACCTTCAGTCAGGAGACGGGCTCAGCAGTCGTGAAGCTTTAGGCCAGTGGCTCTGTTTAGCCGTTGCGAGAAGTATGCGATTTGCGAGGATGATGCCATCGGGCAGTGCGATGGGTCCCTAGCACATGCGCTAGGCGAGGCCAAAGGGGAATGCAGCTGTGCGCCCCTCTTGTGCTCAGGATATCCCTCTTCGAGAAGTTCTGCGGCGTAGTAAGGAGAACCTATCGTTCTCCCAACCGGCGGTTTTCGACGATCAGATGCATGGCTCGGCATTCTTATAAGCAGTGTGATGCACCGTGGAGGGAGTGACAAAGGTTTTTTTAGCGTTCTTCAGTCACTGCTCATGCTGCGCAATACATCAATACAGTCAGGCATGGCAAGCTCGTGTAGGACTCGCGCAGAAGCCTCCCAGAATCATACCCCCGCCTGGCGCCAGTGCTAGACTCGTTCAGAGTTCTCATGAAGGAAGGATTATGAATACGTTCGCTACCGGCGGACGGAGTGACCAAGATTGTGTGCCGGTCGACAGAACTACCGAGAATGTTCATGCTGGACAAACACCTTTCTGCAAGTCGTGGAGGTTCGCAACGCATTGACTCCGGGAAGCAATGCTAAGGGCTTTGGAGGTTTCACACCCAGTGTGTGGCCAGTACTCCAGAGTGTTGCACTGGAATGGGTTAATTCCGGGCAGAACGGGTTGTCAAACATCGATGCGAATTTTTGAGGATGAGGCGACGTGCATTGCATGTCCCGCGTTACAAGGCCGAGCAGTGTTTTCTTTCTGAGGCACTGACGCCTAAATTTGGGAAGCTTGGGAGCAGCTCACGCAGTTCACGGGTCGACCAGCCAAAATCAGACGGCATCAGGTGGGTCCAGGAGAGGATTTAGCACATGCGCGGCCTTGCCACGAGCATCTTCCCGCAACCGTTCGCTTTGTGGTGAAATATTCGTAATATTTGTATGGGTTTCAAGGATTCTCGAAGCCTTGCTTGATTGTTCGCAACTCTTGAACGCGACACTTCTTTTGACCTGTGCTGACGGTGCATTTGCCCGGCAAAGCCTGAGGAAGTTGTCTGGCGGTGACGGCCACTCTTGCATATGCATTCGGCTTCTTCAAAGAAACAAGCCACGCGGATATGTCAGCGTAGAGCTAACATACCAACCTCTGGATTGAGGACAATGTAGGCATCCTGGTGATGATGGTGGTGCAAAGACTGTGCGTGCCATCACTCACATGTACATACCCTTGCGGTCAGCAGTCAGCGGCAAGGTCTGCAGAGCGAAGGCTCACATGCTAGCTTTGTTTAAACGAGCGCAGGCTGAGTTGCGATGTGCACATTTGGGGACCTTTCTTGTCGTTCAATTGGCTTGTGAGACCCCGGGGCAGGATGAGAGGACGATGACTGCTGCCATGGAGTGCTCTTCTTTTCATTCTACATTCTACCGGACTCTACCGAGGCTCGGCCAAACAGCTGACTTACCTTCGATGGAAACCTTGAGGTACAGGAGCGGGCGGCCCACATATCGACTTGCCACGAACACCGTGCTGATGCTCATTTTTTGTTGGGTTCTTTTGGTCGAAGCTTGTGTGGACGGCTGGAAAGTGCCGCGGTTGATTCGGGTACATGCGGATACCAAGGTTGGAGAATCTCATGCAATGGAGACCGCTGAGCGGCTTGGACTGCCTGCCCCGCTTGTCTCTTGCTCAGAAACGCGCACCAGCCAGTCCTGCGGCCCTGCGAGCGCAGCTTCCTCCCGCAACCGCAGAGGTGGCTCGCGCAGTGGAGCTGCTAGGCGATGATCAGAGGCAGTTACTGGCGTTGCAGCGCAAGGCCAGGGATCGAGGCTCGGAATCTGGCGTCTGCCGTCAGTGTCCGGTGCCAGGCCGCCGACGCAGAGAAGGCGGCGTCATGCCAGTGGCACACTTTCATCAAACGCCCGAAATGCTGAGGACTTCGAGTCTGCAAGAGTGGATGCCGAGCAAAGAGAGGCCCAGACTCAGCCAGTGCGGTCCTACCAGCGGTGCGGAGATGGGACAGCTTTCAGGCTGCAGCATCCACAGCAATCAGAGAAGCGGAAACGAAGGCGTTCGGATTGGGGAAAAAAGGGGCTTTTCTCGACATGAAATGGCCTTCGCTTGGCTGTCTGCCACTGCTGCAGGCATCGGAGCTGTCTCGGCGAGCGCAGGAAGTGGCCGAAATGGAGGCAACGCTGCCCAGACTGCACTTCCTTTGTTTGCAATAGGTCGTCGCTAAACTTGCAGTGGCAGTCCAGTAGTCCAGTATCCGAAACCGCCGTGCAGTTAGCATCGACCTGTGAGTCGTACCTGGTATCGAGACGGAAAATGGAGGGCCTCGTGGGCGAATGAAACCACTGCTGATTGAAACACTCTGCATGCACAGAAGAGAGTCGAAGTAGGCAGAACGGCCGTTGCATCATGTGTCGTGGGCGCGGAACAAACTTGTTCAGCAGTTCAAGCGCATCATGGAGTTGAGGTGCAGCTAGAACTATTCGTTCCGCCTCTCGGGTTCTTCGGAGTCCCCATCTCCGTCAGTCTTGCTTCCTTTTTCGAGAAAGTTTGACCTGTCCGTGTTCGGCAAGGCCAAGCTGCAGGCCAGAACCGTGGCTTTGCAGAGGCAGATGCAAGCCGAGCTGCAGGCTCGGGTCCATCTTTTTTGCATGGCAGCGTGCTGTCGTCTCGGTAAACTTCATCGCGAGGCCCAGATTGCCGTGAAGGAGAAGCAGTTCCAGGCTCCGCAATGCATGCTTCCCACGCTCGTCATGCTCGTTTGATGCTTGCTGTGATCCCGCCCGCGCTAAAGATTCAAGTCCGCCATTGACACGAAGTTGATATATTCCCTGAGCCGCTTCTATCTCCTGCATCTTACCCTGCTACCGCTGGCTTTTGAGTCGAGAACTTTTGAAAAGTGCCGAGATGTCCAGGAGTCCTCGCGACTACACTTCCAAAGCTTGAATTTGTCTCCGTGCCTTCAACGCGTGAGAAGAGCGCGGCGACGCAGGGCGGTAGCGACGAGAACTGCTCACAAGTCTTATGGACACAGGATCGGCAGCCTCGTGGAAGGTGTAGCACGAGTAAGATATTAGGAAGCCGCTGCAGCCTACAGTCGCCCACACTGTGCCGAACAAGCACAAAAACACATCCTGCGTGTTTTTTGTTTAAATGTGGTTGTTGTTCGTTCGGAACAAAAGAAGCACTTTTTTCGGTCGGACCGTCCGGTTCGAACAAAAAGCGAGAGTTGCAGCTCAGCGTGCCGAACAAAACACTCTTACGCTGTGTCCAGCTCCGGCGTTCGTGGGCCCTACAATCTCCAACGTCGACAGAGTTTACCACAGAGTGCACAGGTTCATGTTGGAATGGTTCTGGTCTGAGTCTGACGCAGCGTACCCAAGTTTTTACATCAACGAATGCAAGTCAGATGCCAGTGCACCCTTTTGATGTCTGTCTTTCTGGTTATTCTGGTTATGCCGCTGTCCCATTGCCAGGATGTTGTCCAACGTCTGAAGCTGGACTGAGACTTCTGCATTGTGTTCGAAGGGCTTCCTGACGTCATCCGATAACAGATGCAGCGCTGCAGGAGACGCAGAAGCTAGGTTCTCGCTTCCGAATAGTTGGTGATGTGCTGGAGGACGGTGTATCTGTCAGCGGTGATCTTGCAACGCTGCTGTCGTCCGGTTTAGTGCAATGCCTGGATGGTTCCCAGGATCTGAAAGTCGAGGTAGACCAGGAAGCAGAGGAACGATTGCTCACATTGGAAGCACCAAGTGGACAGTTGTTCGATTGCTGTGTCCACAATTTACACAGCAGCGATAGCAGCGTGCCTGCAAGTACTCTGATTCGTCAATAGTCTTGTGGCATGTGGCAGGCGAAATACCAAGCTCAGAGCCATCTTCAGCCGCGCTGGCCTCTGACTGGCGTGCTAAAGACATGGAGTGCTTGATGCAAGGGAGAGGGGGAGCGAAGCGTCAGTGTCACAGTGTGATGCGCAGGGCTGTGCCTGGCGCGCAGAGGGCCCAGTGTCTACCTTCTGCGCGAAAGGACAGCATGCCTTCCACGTTCGTACGATCTTAATGGCCACCGAGGATGGCCGCCCGAGAGATCTTGAGCGCTTGCCGGCATGTTCTCGCCGCGAAGTTCTGGCCTGCAGCTTTCGTGTATGAGAGAGCCTTGCCAGGCCCAGGTGATTGGGTTGTGGTCCTCGCAAAGCCTCCATGGCCGGATTCTCATTTGCCTCTCTGCAATCCAGTGGTGTTAGATGGAGCAGTCAGGCATGGCCTGAAGGCGGGCGAAAGTGCCGTGATGCTGAACCTTGAACCATGCCATTGTTGGCGCCGCAGGGCCAAGTGGAAAGAATTCATTTGGCCAACGGAGCTGCTCCTCGTGTTTCTGTCAGACTGGGTGCGCCGGGCTCCCGCAAAGGCTTTGCTAGTGTGCAAGTCTTGCAAACCGCCGTAGCAAGGAATGGCAAAGTCAAGGAGTTCCTCAAGACTGAGCTTGGAAGGAGCGGGCGATGCCGTCCATGTGCCGTACCTTTTCAGCCCCCTGAGGTGTGAAATATTTGTGTCCCTGTACCCTTCATTCATCCATGTTACATTTTGCATGCTGCATGCAGAGAGGTTCACCTGCTTCACCTGCAAAGTGAACAGCAATGAAGAGAAGTCCAGTGTTAGGATGGTACATCGTGCTCATACGTTTTGGGCGGCAGGACATCTAAGCCGGAAGGGGCACGAAAAATCCCGAAGCCCAAGGGAGAGGCCCAAGCCACAGCTGCAACCAGAAGGGGCCATTCTTTGAGTGCGGCTTTCAGTCGCCCGATGCCTGCCGCAGGCCGCCGCGCCCACTCGTGATTACAGCCGTTCGTCTCAGAAATTGGTGCAGTTGTTGCCTGCATAGCAACGCGAGGCCCTGGCTAGGCTTGGTTCAGCCTCCTGTCGTCAGGTGCGATGGCCTTCTGAGCTTTCGGTCAGATGTTGAAGTTGTGCAGATTTAACTAGTAGTTGAGTGGGGAGGACCTGATTGCTTCCTTCTGCGAGTGTCAGTGGAGCTACAAGCCTTCGGGCAACGCTATTCACGTTGATTCCTTTCTCAACAACTTCAAGTTTTCTGCGGCTGCTAAAGTAGCCCTGCACCGAGACCTGAAGATTTTCTGTGCACCTCCGACGAAGTAAAGACAGCCGTGAGTTGTGCAGGTTCAGTTGAGCAACCTTTCTATTCAAGCGAGACATGTTTGTGCATGCGTGCGAGTTTTTTTGTAATTCAAGCTAGCGCAGGATCCGGTTGTATCATTATCATGGCTCGCGTGCTGCTCGCTTTGCTGCTTGCATCCCCGGTGGCTGCATTTGTGGCCCCGGGCACCGGTGTCACTACCACCGAGATCCAGGGAAGGGCAATTCGGCAGCCACTGGAGCCAGTCGAAGAGACCTTCGACGAGGCCAGCAACTCCAATGTCCTGAGCGTTCTCACCGCTGGCTTCGGTGTTGGTGCAGTGCTGGGATGGTTGAACTCTAGAAAGCAGCAGCTGGCCTCCACTGCGGCGGCAGCGGCCGTGGCCGTCGCACCTGGCGCAGCTCAGGCCATGGTGGACTACGATGGCATCAAGTACCTTAGATCCCCAATACCCAAGCTCTAAACTTTTTGGGTTCTTATAGTTTACTAGGAATCGGAAAGTTTAACCTTTTATTTCCGTGGCTTATTGGGGGAGTAAGGTACTTGGGTGGCACTGACAAGGTTGACATCAACAACGCCAACATCCAGGCCTACCGCCAATTTCCTGGCATGTTCCCCACCATTGCCGGCTTGATTGGCACTCACGGCCCCTACAGTCAGGTGTCCGACATTTACAACATTCCGGGAATGGATGACAAGCTCAAGAACATTGCCAAGAAGTACGAGGGAAACCTGGTGTGCCTGCCAGCCAGCCCTGCCTACTTCATCGACCGCATCAACAACGGACTGTACCGTTAAAGCTGCTTTTTGTTGCCTGGCAGCCTCCCTCAGGGACCGACCAATGGGAGCGTCAAAAGAGACTGGGGCCCAATAGCAGATTCTGTCCATAGCACGTCCGAGCGAATCGCGAGTTTATGACGTACCACCATTTTGCCGCAAGTTTTTTGTACATCTCAAGGGTAGTTTCAGGATCCGGTTGCATCATGGCTCGCGTGCTGCTCGCTGCTTTGCTGCTTGCATCCCCGGTGGCTGCATTTGTGGCCCCGGGCACCGGTGTCACTACCACCGAGATCCAGGGAAGGGCAATTCGGCAGCCACTGGAGCCAGTCGAAGAGACCTTCGACGAGGCCAGCAACTCCAATGTCCTGAGCGTTCTCACCGCTGGCTTCGGTGTTGGTGCAGTGCTGGGATGGTTGAACTCTAGAAAGCAGCAGCTGGCCTCCACTGCGGCGGCAGCGGCCGTGGCCGTCGCACCTGGCGCAGCTCAGGCCATGGTGGACTACGATGGCATCAAGTACCTTAGATCCCCAATACCCAAGCTCTAAACTTTTTGGGTTCTTATAGTTTACTAGGAATCGGAAAGTTTAACCTTTTATTTCCGTGGCTTATTGGGGGAGTAAGGTACTTGGGTGGCACTGACAAGGTTGACATCAACAACGCCAACATCCAGGCCTACCGCCAATTTCCTGGCATGTTCCCCACCGTTGCCGGCTTGATTGGCACTCACGGCCCCTACAGTCAGGTGTCCGACATTTACAACATTCCGGGAATGGATGACAAGCTCAAGAACATTGCCAAGAAGTACGAGGGAAACCTGGTGTGCCTGCCAGCCAGCCCTGCCTACTTCATCGACCGCATCAACAACGGACTGTACCGTTAAAGCTGCTTTTTGTTGCCTGGCAGCCTCCCTCAGGGACCGACCAATGGGAGCGTCAAAAGAGACTGGGGCCCAATAGCAGATTCTGTCCATAGCACGTCCGATCGAATCGCGAGTTTATGACGTACCACCATTTTGCCGCAAGTTTTTTGTACATCTCAAGGTTAGTTTCAGGATCCGGTTGCATCATGGCTCGCGTGCTGCTCGCTGCTTTGCTGCTTGCATCCCCGGTGGCTGCATTTGTGGCCCCGGGCACCGGTGTCACTACCACCGAGATCCAGGGAAGGGCAATTCGGCAGCCACTGGAGCCAGTCGAAGAGACCTTCGACGAGGCCAGCAACTCCAATGTCCTGAGCGTTCTCACCGCTGGCTTCGGTGTTGGTGCAGTGCTGGGATGGTTGAACTCTAGAAAGCAGCAGCTGGCCTCCACTGCGGCGGCAGCGGCCGTGGCCGTCGCACCTGGTGCAGCTCAGGCCATGGTGGACTACGATGGCATCAAGTACCTTAGATCCCCAATACCCAAGCTCTAAACTTTTTGGGTTCTTATAGTTTACTACTGTGGATGGAGGAAATCTTGCACCACTTTTAATTTAAGATATGTTAGTTAGCTTCACCCCGCACCCCCTTCTTAACATTGCTATGAACACGGGGATTTACGAAATCGTTCCAATGACATAAATCTTGCACCGCCCCAAGAGGTCTGTCGTCAATGTTAAGATGTGTATTCGCAACAAGATGTGAGGTGGTGCAAGATTTCCTCCATCCACCGTAGGAATCGGAAAGTTTAACCTTTTATTTCCGTGGCTTATTGGGGGAGTAAGGTACTTGGGTGGCACTGACAAGGTTGACATCAACAACGCCAACATCCAGGCCTACCGCCAATTTCCTGGCATGTTCCCCACCATTGCCGGCTTGATTGGCACTCACGGCCCCTACAGTCAGGTGTCCGACATTTACAACATTCCGGGAATGGATGACAAGCTCAAGAACATTGCCAAGAAGTACGAGGGAAACCTGGTGTGCCTGCCAGCCAGCCCTGCCTACTTCATCGACCGCATCAACAACGGACTGTACCGTTAACCACGGTCGATGCTGCAGCCCTTGTGGAAAAACAAGCAAATATTGAATGCTGCACAGCAAGTGTCGGGCATCAAGAGCGCACCGCCCCTACTTTTTTGCAGGCTTTGCAAGCTCTCCCTTCCCCAGGTTATGACCACACACACATTGAAAGGGAGTCCCATTGTAGTCCTTTTTGTGTAGTTCATCGCTTCACTTGCTTGCATGCTGTCCCACTTGGTGAGCCATGGATCTCGTGGATTGGCTGACGTCTTTTCTCCCCAGTCCTCGAAGCTGTCAACGTCGGAATCGTCTGGTCCCCAGTCCCCACGCAGGCTCCGCAGTCGCTCCGCATCGCTCCGCGAGTGCTGCTAGAGCGTTCGCAACTGGACTGAGGAGAGGGCGCAGGCCTGCACGCAGATCTTCTTCTTTATGCTCAGGAACATTTTCGCGGCGTCTGCGAAGTGCTGGAGTCCGTTTTTCTTGATCAGGCCAACGAGGCTTCTTGCAGGGTTGCATCACGATGCAGACATGCATAGACGTGCACAACAGTGCCCAACTATCCGATCAGGCTAGGCTGGATTGCATCTGTCGACTTTGGCTCGGGAGTCCGCTCTGTATCGGAGATCTCTATTTGGTTGTAGGCGGTTTTGAGTGCCAGGTAGATCCTCGCACGCGAACATGCCCTCCCATTGCTTGAGCTGGAAGGGGCCCTTCTGCTGCCACAGGTCATGCCGTTCCCCTGCAGCCTCGTCGTGGTGCACTGGGAAAGCAAGACACTCCACCTGAATCGCTGCAGTGGCATGGCTTCTTGAAGGGCATCAAACTTTTTCCAGTTTTCCAAGTTGTCCTCCTGCCGCATTGCAACATAAAGCCAGGCCCAGGGCAGAACACAAGCGTTCGGACAGAGCACCGACCTCTTTGTGAGCAGCTTCACATGTCTTTAGGCTTTACGTGTCTAGTCTTGCTGTGGTCATGTTCTGTCAACGTGAGGAAAGCTTGCTGCTGCGTCGAGGAAACTAGGAACAGGAAACATGAACATTTTGGGGGCACCCAGAAGAAACCAAAAGATGCCCAAGGAGAGTTCTTGAGCCTCCGCCAGCCCTTTCTGTAGAAGCATGGGTCTGAAAGCCTCCAGTTGTAGGAGGGGCCAAAACCCAGTTTGACCACCTCAAGGTCCCATCATCGCATCGGCAACACGAATTCTGGCTGCATCGGACGAGCAGGGCAAAGTCGCGCCTGTGAGTGCTCCAGCATAGTGATCTTAGACCGGACCGAAAACGGAAAGAGAGGCTTGTTCACAGCCTGAAGCAGGACTGCATTCAGGCCATATTTCGTGCATCCTGCCGAAGCTGCTCCGGCTAAGGTGTTAGACGACATTCTGAACATGATGTGGTGCTCCGGGCAATGGCCCACTCCACGAGGAAATCTTCATCCGACTTGTCTCATGTGCGGGAGACTCGTCTGTGGCCCTCACAAGCAGATGGTACAGAGTTTGGAAGCTGGCCCTGTCAGGCGACTGCAGGACGGGACTTCTTTCCTCAGGCTCAATCCGGGTCGGATGTGCCGGCGCATCAGTGGCCCATGGGTCTTACCAGAGGCGCCGGCGGAGCCGGCTCCCTGGCTGCCGAAAGAGACTGGAGCATTGGTTTCTGCAGTGCGTTCCTGTGGCCACCTGGGTTGGACGGCTGTTCAGCAGCAGTTGGAAAGCAAAGGCTTCGCTCGAACCGACGTCCAATGCCAAGTGCAATGGAGACAGGTGTCTCACCCGCTGTCGGCAACGCATCTCATAGACTTGAGTGCCGCAGATGAGACGAAACTGCGAGAGACTGGAGACGGTACTGTAGGACGGAGGTGGCAGTGGCGAGACGAAGCAATCGATGCAGAGATGCAGCTGCTTTTGTCTTCTGATTCCGAGCGCGTCGAGCTGCAAGAGCTGGGCACGGGTCTCATTGTATTCTCACCACTTCTTTCTTGCTACCTCTCCTCTGCATCGATTTCATTCCCGCCGTCAACGCTGCTACCAGAGACAATCCAAGAAGACTTTCTGATCGGGCTCTCGGCCTTCTTTCGCACGCCGATGATTGATCGCACCGGATTGCTGAACAAGGACACGGAGATGCTGTCAGTCACCGCATGCTGCTGACACAGCGCTAAAGTCCCGCTGAGTCCATGTCCGAGTGCGTCGCAGGTCAGGATGTGTCTTATGTCAGGATCATGCTGTCAAATCGCGGGCGGGTAGAAAGTTGTACTGTAGCCGTGGCTGGGACATAGTTTCGCAAGAAGCACTGACGTGTACAACCACACAAAATGAACTTCAGGGCTGAGCAACGGCTGCCGGCTTCATCTCTCTGCAATCGTGGCTTTTTTGGCTTGAATGGGCGTTACTTCAATGCACTGACGGGCGGGGGCCGGACAGACCCGAGGACTGCAGCTTGCGTTTGACAGTCCTGGAGCCCATGCCAGACAAAGACCCGAGCTTCTGCACGCCTCTTGGCGCCGTGCCTTCGACTGTTGGATTGTCCGAGTTTGACTGACCTTTTTGCCGCCTCGCTTCGTCCCTCCCTTCCAGGTGATGGATGGTCGTGCCAAGGAGCTAATCGAGCGAGCGCAGGCACAGCGCTGCCAACTGGAGGTCCTGTGGAGCGGAGGCTCGTCTCCAAGAGATCAGAGCGGAACTTGAGACAGCTTTTGCCTTCGCGTGTTTCAGAGCAGTACATACCTGCTTCAGGATTTTTTGGATCGACAGGTATACCTGAGCATGTGCGTGCCGATGTGCTTGAGCATGCTGGGTTCAATGGTTTGCTGGTAGAGGCTGGAAAGTCGAATGGCATCCGTGGAGACTGAACTTTGCTTTTGGCATTTTCTGCTGCCTTCAACGCTGGCGGAGAGGGGTAAAGGATCGCTCGGCAGGCTTGCTCAAGCGCTTGTGCAGATGCAGGCTAGAGCCGAAAGGCCGAAAATGATGCTTCAGTCCAACTGTTGCGCCACACATCCGGCCCCATCTCCTCTGGCGACTCCCGAGTTAAACATGAAATTTGGCCGTTTGGTGTCCACCCGCAGTTTGTGAGTGGACACCGGTCGAAGCGCACGATACTTTGTTGTGTGGGTGGAGGCTGGGCACACCCTGCGCATGTATGCTGGGTAGTTTGGTGGCTACCTTCTCTCGGCCTGCAGTAACCCGTTCCTGTTTAATTGTGCTGCTAATCTTCGTGTCATTATGTGCATGGCCTGGGATTTGGGCTGCCACTAGTACCGGGTATTTGGTTGGATAGGCAGCGTCCCTGGCTAGAAGCTGGAACATGCTCGAGTCTTGTCGGCCAGTGTTGCGCAGGCACTGGCCAATCGCACAGCGTTTTCCGTTAGTCGACCAATGTCTGCCCAGCATCTTTCTGAGCTGTTGGGTATTGCCCACAAAGTTTTCACGATGTCAGCATATGGCCTGCGGGTTCGTGATCAGAACTGGCTGCATGGTCATACCACCGAACAGCTGTCGATTGCACGATTTGTGTGGCAGTGCTCTCCACGTCTCAGGTAAGCCTCTGCTTCAGTCGCAGTTTGCACATTCTGAAAAGTTCTCATGTCTTCTCTTTGCCTGATCTGCAAGCAGGCATTGATTCGACATCGCTGCTTGTGGCACTGTTACGAACACTGTGTCCCGACTGGCGACCGTGGAAGCCTAAAAGTTCTTCGCAAGGAGCGCGCAGTTCCAAAATACCGCGGAGAGAAAGTCATGCAGATCCTGTGTGAGAACTGGATGAAGGAGATCCGAGATTTCTTGAGTTTCCTGGCATTGTCGTTCGATGCAGTGCTGATTCCATTGCAGAGTATCCCTGGAGACGGCCTTAGCGCTAGCAGCATGTCATGGCAACCGAGAGCTTCTTTGGGTGACGGAGATGGCTGAGGTTCCACGAGAACGTGCTTCTCCCGCTGCATGAAGCTGGTGCCGTTGCACGTTCGATGCGTCTAGAGTCTAGAGCCTAAGTCGTGCAAGTTCCGGCAGGTGCCATTGCCATGGAGCCCATGGCAGATGCAGAGGAGACTGATGCGACTTAGAATCTAGGATAATCTAGGCATTACCGGATCGTGGGTGGCAGGAAGTGTCCATGCTGTGGGAAGCACCCTCGTCCCGAATCACAGTCACCGGAGAGTGTGGAGATCAGATTTTTGGATCTCAGCTACTTGAAGCGGGGGCCTCGAGGAAGGCCTAGGCCAAAAGCTTTGCCAGTGATGTCTTTGGTCTTTGGGCAGGCTGCCTTCGTCGAGTCTGAGCTTCGTGCGTTGCACGAGCATGGCCTGGATGCGGCCTGGGAGGACCACTGCAAGGCTGTGGTCGCTTTGGGGCTTGGCGAGCGAGAGGACACCGTGCTACATGCGCTTTTGGACATGGGCATCGTGAGGCCAATGACGCGTAGCGTGGACTAGCTGCTGCAGCAGCATTTGACTGTTTGCACTCCCATTCCAAAACTGCAAGCGGTATTTGGATTCCTCTCGCTTGATACTGTTATGGTGCTGGTGTGCGCAACTACTACTTCTGCAGGCTGGACTGCAAAGAGCGATGGCTTCGTTGGTTCAGGCCCGAAGGACCCCCTGCGGGTGGGTTGGAGCGTGAACGTTCATCGACCAGGCCTTTTGTGGAACGATGCCCTCTTCCAGTCTGCTCTGCGTTTGATTTGCCGGAGACTCGTGGATCGTGGGTAGTCGCTGTTTGTGATTTGTATTTGCCAAGGCTTTGGTGGCTGAACGTGAGCTGCAAATGGCAGACCGTCTGCCTCAGGCCTCTGCGTTTTGATCCGCCATCAGCTGAAATTCGATGCGAACCCGGAAGGCTTTTCCAACGTCGACCTCAGCTTCGTTCATCTGACTTGGAGAGACTTGCACACTTCTTCCAGACGGAGGATGGGCGATGTCGCACTTTACAGCCAGATGTCAGACCGCACGACTCCGTACCAGCAGGAGTTCCAGCAATGGTCCTTCGTTCCTGAGAACCATGCAGCCAAGATGAAGGATCACAAGAAATGGTGCCGTACCTGGGATGTCGGCATGTCCGAGCGAAGGAAAAACTGCAAAAGATGGCTGCAAGGTCAACATACAAGCAGCCGTTGAAAGACTACATTCTGGAGTTTACCCAGGTCGGGGAAGTCGGTTGCTCACGCCCTTCAACATGCCCAGCTAGAGCTTCAGAAATGAAGCATGAGCAGTACCTGCGTACTCTCATAGCCGCTTGTGTTTCAGCTTCGGAAGCACTAGACATGTGAATTGAAATTCTTCAGAGTGATGCATCAATGCAATTCTTACATTCATGAAGAACACGCTGCGCCATCCGAGGGTAGTCCATGGGGAACATAATTCAGACAGTTTTCGCATTGGGCCCCGCGTTGCAGATCAAAGGGTCCAGTTTGGAGTGTTTGGAGTGTGGGCTGTGTGCTCCGTGAGTCACGTTGCATGCTCGTGGTTTCTCGAAATTGACCTTTGTCTGACTTCGAGTTGCAGCAGCTCTGGCGTTCGCGATCCAATCACAGCTTTTTCAGTACTTGTACATTTGGCTTCTGAACGCGCCTGTTTTTTCTCCCGCTTCCTTGAAATAGCAGTCACACGAGGCCATGTCAGACAATGCCGGAGGATGGAGGGGACAAGCACAGCCCCCTGCAAGAACCAGTGTGGGTGAGACTCGAAGGTGGAGTACGTGGTGGAAGGATTCAACTCTTCACGGCTCAGGCTTGGAAGAGGCCCTTGCAATAGAAACTTCCCCGATGTAGCACTGGGCACCCAACTCGCGTTCCTTGAAAGAACCTCGAAGCTTCGTTAATGAACCAGCTCCGCTGTCTTCGGTATGCAGGACCGGGAGTATTGCGACAGCAAGCTCAAAGTGGGATCTCTCTGCCAGGCTGGGAAGTCTTTTGCGTGATTTGGCTGCTTGCAAACCTCGCAGCTTAAGGTCAACGATGCCAGCCGATTCGTCATCATGGGCATCGACGACAAGTTGAATGTACTCAGATTCGGACAGACTTGTTTCCAGCCCGTATTAAACCCGACGAGGTAGCCGTTACTGTTTTGCGAGGGCTTGTGTTCTTCAATGCTTGCTGGAACTGAGGCTTAAGCGCTCGCCAAATGGACAGGAGGTATCCAGACCGCGCTTTGCAAAGAGCGTTTCTGAGAAAAACAGCTGCATAGCTTCTTCTGCGGCTGATGCTACCATTCCTTCTCGCACCACTGCTGCTGCCACTGCACGCTGCGCAGAACTCGGGGCCGGGAGAGCAGCAGACTTTTGACCTTCTCACACCACAGTACTTCGGCAGTTTGTAAGTACAAATCGAGCTCGGAAGTCGTGGCATTCGTGGCGGGGAACACTGTCCAGTTTCTCAAGCTGAGCCGTTGGATGTGGCCTTCCAACGTCGCAAGTGGTGCTCTCGCCAAAGTGCTGTTCACGTTTCGTGGCTTCAGGGACAGTCTCAAGCCCCTGAAGAGGCGTTCCTATGTGAGAGTCGGGCTTTTGACCTCTTGCGAAGCCCCGCCTCACCGACGATTGTGCAAGCCACATTGCAACGGCGACAGGACCTGGAGACACCATGGGGCTCAAGGGAACTCCGTGGTGCATAACCGTAGCGTGAATCGCGGACCAAGTGCCAGTCGCCGGCTGGAAGGTGCAGGCACAGAATCGCAGACACTTTCCGAAGAAGCCGACAGAAGCGGCTATTCAATTCTCCTGACGTGCTGCCATGCGTTTTGCGACTCAACATTTTAGACCCGCTGTGTCCAGCCACAGAAGTGGCCCCGCAAGTTGCTGTCGTGGTCATGAAAGGAGTTGGCGGGCGTCGGCGATCGGATCGGAGACATGTGTACGAGGCCGTTTATGACATCGATGACGTGGATCTTCTGTTTCGGCGCTCGCGAAAAGCACAGGTTCGGACTCGTCCGAGACGATACGAGCAGCCGCGACGACATGCGCCCGGGAACATCCAAGTATGCAGCATAAGCAGCACTATGATCCTGGTGGCCTGTTAGCCTGGCACGAACAAGATGCTGCACAAGAGATCATGGCATATGATGGCACGCTTCAGATCCGAATTCCTCAAGCGATCTCCCAGCATGCAGGCCTTTTGCAAGTCATCAGCACGTGTGAAGCTTGGTGCCACGGTGCAGTCAATGCTCTTTATGGGAGCCGTCGGTGCTAGCTTTGAGGAGAGACGAGCGAACAGTTGGTGCCGACTGCCACCTCCGAATGCCATCCTCCTCTTTGAATGCCCTGCTCGGACGACGCCCGCCAGTGTCGGATGAAGCTCTTGCGACGCGTCCTCCACTCGGAATTCTCCGAAACAGTCGAACTTCCGATCCACGTGGAAGAAGTCCTAGTTACGCCACCGCCGCTGGTGTGCCCAGCACCAGGTGCGAAAAAGGCAACGCACATCGAGCTTCTGAACTTGAGCAACTGGCGCGTGCATCTGCTTCTAGCGCAGGTCCGACGGCGGGGCCGTGCTGGTCGGAGATGTCAGCCAGCTCCTCACCCGCTGCATTCCAAATGCGTGCCTCGTGCAGCGGTTCAGTTCAATGCTGGCGTGCTCCCAGGAAGCTCGTTGGGAAGCACCCGCAATTCGCGGAATTCGCCATGTCAGTGGCGATGCGTAAAAGAACTAGAACGGACAGTTGTTGTCCCGGACGACAGCCTGCAAGCGGCCTTGGGTTTGCGAAGAACGACTTGATGCGGCCAGCGTGGCTGGTTGCGACAACTGGCTCTGGCCATCCGGCCTGGCGAACGGGCGTCTGGGTGCCCTCCTCTTCGATGACGAAGGGGATGGAAGGACATTTTGCAGAGACTGGCCAGCAAGGTGCTCTCGCAATCCTTCGTGCCCCAGTTCCAAACGGTTTGTTTCCTGTTCGCGCTTGGCCTCCTGACAAGCGCTGGCACTGAAGCTCGTGCCCAGTTTATCCGGATAGCCTCGTGATGTTCACGCCTGTCAATGCCGTGCGTACGACCACGCGTGGAACACAGCGAGCACGGCAGAGTTTCAGCCACAGGGCGAGGAGCACAGTGATCCACCGATGTGACTTTTGCTTCTCTTGTGCAGGACCAGAGGCATTTTGCACCGTCCCGGCACGCTTCCGTCATGGTGAAGTTGCGCTCGAATGGTTGGACGACATCTACGTTTTCGCAGTGCCTGGACACATCAGGGAGTGGTTCATGGTGATGGTGAATGCATTGCCAACCCCGGCAAACTCAACACCTAGAGTATTTTGGAATGCTGCCGGTAGTCTGCCGGTGATAAGCTGACAGACATCGGCCATTCAATAGACTCCTTCCCAAATCAAGTTGGAGACTGGATGCGGCCATTCGGCTCCAGCTTGTTTACATCACCTAAGCTAGGGGCACAGCGCCCTGTGCGATGTGCCAGGTTCTGCTTGTTGCGCTGCCGGCCCATGCTGCGGCGGTTGCAACATGTCTGGCATGTGTGGCCGCCTTTGCGGATCGTTTCCTTCGACCGCAAAAAATCCAGTGAGATGAGATCGCTGCCAATTTTGCCTTGGTCGTGCAGTTCCCTGTGTCAGGACAAACCCGTTTTTGATCTCGCACCCCACCTCGCTTTGGCCTCCTTGCATGCCCTGCCCAAACCCGGCGGTGATGTAAGCCCAACTGCTGTGGGCGAGTGCCCGCCCCGCTTGGCATCAATGAAGTGAAGGACACCGCCCCTCTCCCTCTCCGTCCCTCTCCGTCCCTCTCCGTCCCTCTCCGTCTTCCCTCTCCGCCCCTCTCCCTCTCCCTCTCCGCCTCTCAATCCCTCTCCGTCCCTCTCTGTCCCCCTTCGTCCCTCTCCTCCTTCTCCGTCCCTCTCCGTCCCTCTCCGTCCCTCTCCGTAGTCGGGTGGGGTGTTTGCTGGCAACAAGGCTTCAGTCTTCCAGGCGTGCCTGCCGGATCCTGCCGGGGCAAAGGCGATTGTTTCGAGAGGGAGCTCGCGCAGTGAGCTGGCGTTGGCCTTTTGCGTCGCCACGGCAATAATGCCACCACCGAGACATGTGGGACACGTGGGCAGCGTGGCGGCGAACGTGTGGGGCATGCGTTTCGAGTCTCCGCACATCGCCGCCCCCATGCCTGGTGCACAGGCACCGTGTTTGCAGGACGTCTTGCATGACGCGTGCCCGCCTGGCCCAGCTGCTTGCCTCGCTGAGACGCTGCACCCCAACGCTGCCCCGTAGTTCGCAGCTGCACATAATTAGCTGCACGGTGACCGCATATGGATCGCTCGAAAAGACCGCCGGGAAAAAGGGTATGTGTCGAGACGCTTGCGCCGCGCAGCCAGTTGGAGACCGAGGCTAGCCCGAGAATCAGCCGCTGAACTGCTGCCTGAGCTTTGCCACGGCTCGCGGGAGCGAGTGGCAGCACTGACGAAGGCAGGTTTTCTGTTGCAATTCCGCGGGATCGATGCACAGAACTGCAACGTCATCAAAACTCATCCACACGGCATAGATGTAAACTGTATTTTATTGTTTTAAGGCGCGATACGAAGGTACACGTGCGAAGGGTGTTTTATGGGCCGGCGCGCATGGAGGAACCACGTGATTCTGCTGCGCGTGGCAGTGCCAATCTAGGCCATCCTCAGCGAAGTTGTAGTGCGAGCGCGGACGGCGTAAGACGCTCCACAATGGTCCATGAAACAAACACACGGAGCAGTGGACTGCTGCACAGCGTTCGGGCACCCTTGGTCGGGATGTTGAGCACGCGAGTGCAGTTCGGCAAGCTGGGAGCCGACTCGGAGGACATCGCAGTCCAGCACAACGTGCAGCTTCCTCGAGCGCGTGGGCACGACGGTGGTAGGGCAATGTAGGGCATGATACCGATCGCGGTGCAGCACGCTGTGGGGGGCACGGCGCTGGACGCCTCATGGTTGTGCCCCCGCAGCGTTGCGTTTGCCGAGCCGACAGTTCTGTTCCGTGATGTTGCGCAGCGCTTGCCTGGACCAGTTGTTGCTTGTGCGCAGAATGTGCGCAGCTAGCCCCTCGCCACAGGGCTCAGGGTCTGCGACGCGCTGCGCTGCAACGCAACAGCTTTTGCAGAGCATGCGCAGCCTCCAGAATGATGTCGAGTTACGGCAGGCACTGCCGTTTCTCGAGGAGGCCCGTGCCCCCTTGTTCGCTGTCGGCTTCGAGTCGCCGCGCTGGCAGGAGGTGCTAGCTGGGCAAACCGCGCCGCCAGTCCTTGAAGGCGACCTGCAAAAACGACACCACGCGTGGATGGCCGCATGTTGGGAAACAGGCTTTTGACAGCTTCTGCCATAGGTTTGCGAGGAGGACTGGATGCATCCCCAGCAGCGCTGCTTGAATCACGAGTCTTGACCGCACGGCCCACTTTCACCCGAGACCCAGTTGCAGTCGCCATTGTTCCGAGGCGGCTTCGCTGCCACTCCCGTCCTCCTTACTGCAACCAGATGCCACTGCCGCCAGCCGCATGCGGTGACGACCTTGCAGCTTGCCCTTGCTCATCAGTCTTGGCCCAGCGCGTGAGCGGCCCCGTGCGTGAGTTGCCGCCGCAAATGTTGGAGGTGAGCGGCAAAGCGAGATGCGGGCTTCTGCGCAACGCCCGGGTGCTAGGACGTCGGGGCTTCATCCGGGGGAGCGCTCTTCAGCCAAGCCATGGCTTGTGGGCTTGGCCGGGTCAGCAAGAGTGCGCGGGATGCGGAATCCATGAACGGCAACACCATGCGGTCACGAGAGAGAGGCGCGTGTCCGCGTCGCGTGGTGCGGCTAATCCCCGGGTTGGCCCGTCCCTGCAACGTCAATTTTTTGGTTTTGTTTACCGAAAGCATCGCGAAGGGTTCTTCCGTGCGAAGCCCTTGAGAGAAGTACATAGAATGAAGTACATCGAGTGAAGTGCATAGTACATAGAGTGAAGTGCATAGTGCACCGAGTGAAGTACATAGAGTGAAGTGCATCGACTGAAGTGCCTAGTGCATAAAGTGAAGTAGATGTATGGTACACAGAGGAGTCTATGACTCTATGATTCTATCTCACTCCGACTCTATGACTTTATCTGACTCTGACCCTAGGACTTTATGACTATGACACTATGACTCTGTGACTCTGTGACTCCATGACTTCATGACTCGATGAGTACTGTATGACTCTATGACATTATGACTCTATGATTCTATGACACTATGACTCTGTGACTCTATGACGTTGTG